CCTGGTATCGACCGTCAGTTGGTTCATCCGTTACCGGTACATGAACATGTACAGTCGCCTACCCCCAGAGCCTCAACGCAAAGAAGCCCAGATCGATTTGTTCCCCGATATCCAAGAAGGGGATTCAAAACCAGGGCTTGCCAACTATCTTGATGAATTTCTCAGTGCTATCAAAGTCTTTGGCTATCTTGAACGGCCCGTCTTCCACGAGCTGACCCGGACGATGCAGACCAGGAAACTGATCGCCGGAGAGACGCTTATGCTGGAGGAGGAGAAGGGCTTCTGTATGGTTGTGGATGGGCTGGTTCAGATCTTCGTGAAATCAGCACGCGACGGGAAGTCGGGCTCCCAGGAGAATCTCCACATAGACGAGGAATACTCAGACGAGGAGGACCGGAACATTCACAACCGACAGGGCTATCAGCTCCTCACCGAGGTTAAGAACGGTGCTTCGATGTCGTCTCTGTTCTCCATTCTCCAACTTTTTACTGAAGATATTGAGCTCCGCAACTCACAAAGTCACAGCTCCAGTATATTCAGTCCTAATCTTGGCCAAACTCATGTGCCTGATACCTTCGGTGTCAGCCCCGGGTCCACCGTGAGAGAGGCCGGGAACTCGAGCACTTCAGCCAGTGGATCGGGTGAGACATTGCCCCCAGTGCCTCCGCTGAACATCGGAGAGAGCCATGACATACCCCGACAGGACTCCGGCGAGGTCCCGCAGCCGGAGACTAGACAAAAAGTCCACAAAAAACGTCGCAAGTCGGTACACCCAGATATCGTGGCACGGGCTACAGTGGACACGACGATTGCTATCATCCCAGAGAGCGCATTCCGCCGCCTGACCAGAGTCTACCCACGGGCAACCTCGCACATTGTCCAGGTGATCCTGACCCGCCTCCAGCGGGTCACATTCGCCACAGCGCATTCTTATCTGGGCCTTACTAGCGAGGTATTAGGTATAGAACGGCAAATGTCTAAATACACCTCTTGGGACCTTCCGAATAATCTTCGAGGAAGTGCTTTGGATCGTCTGAAGGACAAATTTACGCGGGAGCGAGATAGATTGGGACCGGAGGAAATTGGAAAAGGAATTGCTCTTCACAATCCTGCTGTCGGCCGTAGAGGACGCTCTAGCAGTACTCTCAGGAAAGAAGCCTTTTTACAAGCAAAGATCGCTAGTGAGCGCCCTCTCACACCTTTAAGCCCACAGCGGCCACCATCGGCATTCATTGACAGGGACTCGGCAGGTGTCAGCCCCGGTGATCTGCTATCAACAATTCAGCTGTCCCGGTTTGGACCGCGACATGATCATTTAGCACCTCGCATCCAGACCCCTCTGACTGAGCGGGAGCAACCTCAATTTGTATCCGCTGCGGCAATGACTGGCCTGTCTTCAACTTTCCAGCGAAACGAGTCAGTTGACGAGGACACGATCTTCCGCGAGTCGATCTTGGACTGCATAATGAAGGGTATTGGACTCACCGAAGGCACAAGCGATAATCTGCGCAAGAGCAGCCATTCTGGGGAGGCGTCGCCGAGACTTCTATCCTACGATAACCGCCGCCAGAAGGCAGTCTTCTCCAACGCCTTTGGCTTCATGGACCCCTACGAAGGCTCTGGTGATGGCGAAAGCGAATCCATGATGTCATCCATATCGGTAACGAGCGCAGGGGGGACTTCGCCTGTCATGAACCTACGGGAAGACCTCCGCCATGATATCGAAGTAGTTTTCTTCCCACAAGGCTCGGTGCTGGTGGAACAGGGTGAGCGCCATCCAGGTCTCTACTACGTCATTGATGGATTCTTGGACGTGGGTATTCCGGCAAATGAACACGATGACACCCTTATTGGGTCTTCTCATGGATCTGCCTCGCAAGCGCAAGAGGGGTTGTTCCCGAAGCTAAGACGAACGACGACAGCATCGTCGCGCACCGCCTCTGGCGCTGCAGGCAGCAATGATCCTCGACGGAAGACCCAGTCCCGCAAATCGCTATACCTGATCAAACCTGGTGGTATTCAAGGGTATGTAGGCGCTCTTGCATCGTACCGCTCGTACACCGATGTTGTGGCCAAAACGGATGTTTACGTTGGATTCCTTCCCCGTGCGTCTCTCGAGCGAATCGCAGATAGACATCCAGCTGCCCTGTTAACGCTGGCGAAGCGATTAACACGATTGTTGCCCCGTTTGTTGCTTCACATTGATTTCGCGCTAGAATGGGTGCAGGTCAGCGCAGGACAGGTGATCTATCATCAAGGGGACGAAAGCGATGCTATTTATCTTGTTCTGAATGGTCGTTTGAGGTCTGTCGTTGAGGGATCAAAAGGCAAGATTACTGTCATGGGCGAGCACGGGCAGGGTGAGAGTGTCGGCGAACTAGAGGTCATGACTGAATCTACAAGACCGTCTACCTTGCATGCTATCCGGGAAACAGAACTAGCCAAGTTCCCCCGGTCTCTTTTCAATAGTCTTGCCCAGGAACATCCTGGAATTACCATCCAGGTTTCTAAACTAATTGCCCAGCGAATGCGTGATTTAGTCGAGCATCCGCTATCTGAAAAGGGGATTGAACAAGGACAGGGCGGCGGTGTTCAGACTGCAACTTCAACAGTCAACCTTCGCACCGTGGCAATCCTTCCCGTCATGGCTGGTGTCCCGGTTGTGGAATTTGGACATAGACTCTTGCAGGCGTTGCACCAAGTTGGTGTGACCAGAGGTGTCACATCACTCAACCAAGCGACCATTCTGAATCACTTGGGTCGCCATGCCTTTAGTAAGATGGGAAAGCTTAAGCTTTCCCAATACCTCGCCGACCTTGAGGAGAAATTCGGAATGGTCTTGTACATCGCTGACACCAATGTGAACGCACCGTGGACTCAGACTTGCATCGCACAAGCTGACTCTATTTTGTTGGTGGGTCTCGCAGAATCTTCGCCCAGAATTGGTGAATATGAGCGGTTCCTGTTGGGTATGAAGACCACTGCTCGCAAAGAACTGGTTCTTTTGCATGCGGAACGATACTGTGCACCTGGACTCACTCGGGAATGGCTCAAGAACCGAGTGTGGATCAACGGCGGCCATCACCATATTCAAATGGCCTTCCGTTCGACCACCGACCCTGCGCATCAGCCAACTAAGAAGTTCGGTACTGTGTTGAAACAGCGTGTGCAAATTCTGCAAGCCGAGATCCAAAAGTATACGTCCCGGCGTGCACAACAAACTCCACTCTATTCCCCGCAAACCCCTTTCAAGGGTGATTTCCATCGGCTGGCTCGGCGTCTGTGCGGCAAATCTGTGGGTCTTGTCTTGGGAGGAGGTGGAGCGCGTGGTATATCCCATGTTGGCGTCATTAAAGCGCTCGAGGAGGCCGGAATCCCAATTGATATCATCGGTGGCACATCGATCGGTTCTTTCATTGGGGCCCTGTACGCTCGTGACGCCGATGTCGTCCCCATGTACGGGCGAGCCAAGAAGTTCTCCGGTCGCATGGGAAGTATGTGGCGGTTTGCATTGGACCTGACCTATCCCACTGTTTCCTACACCACGGGTCACGAGTTCAACCGCGGGATCTTCAAGACCTTTGGAGACAGCCAAATTGAAGATTTCTGGTTGGAGTTCTACTGCAACACAACCAATATCAGCCGATCCCGAATTGAGTATCACTCGTCTGGTTATGTCTGGCGGTACGTTCGGGCCTCGATGACGTTGGCCGGCCTGATGCCTCCTATCTGTGACGAAGGTAGCATGCTCCTGGACGGTGGCTACATCGACAATCTCACAGTCGCACACATGAAAAGCCTTGGAGCGGATGTCATCTTCGCAATTGATGTTGGGTCTATTGATGACACCACGCCCCAGGGATTCGGAGACTCACTGTCAGGATTCTGGTCAGTCTTCAACCGGTGGAATCCTTTCTCCTCACTCCCGAACCCACCGACACTTTCCGAAATCCAAGCGCGACTGGCCTATGTCTCCTCGTTCGAAAATCTTGAGCGGGCAAAGAATATTACTGGCTGTCTATACATGCGTCCTCCTATCGACCCGTATGGAACCCTAGAGTTCGGCAAATTCGACGAGATCTACCAAGTTGGCTACGCATATGGGAAGGAGTTCCTCGACCGCTTGAAGGCCGAGGGCTCATTGCCTATCCCGGAGGAAACCGAGGAAAAGCGCAAGCTGCAGCGGACCATGGCTCCTCGCCGAGCTAGTATCTAACCGTTCCAACATGATCTTGAATCCAACCCCGCATAGATTTTGAGTCATCGAATCAACGACTTACTTTTGATATGCGGCTTTCAACGTTGCGTACCATTTGCTCTGCTTGGTGCACGCGCCGTTTCTTGCGCAAGATAACGATCAAGTAGCTTCTCTTATTAAACCTGTACATTCGATGTATGCTGTAAATAGCCAGATAGAAATAGAAACTAAGGTTCTTTGGTTCTGCAAATCAGGTATTTTGAATGCAAAAATAATAAAACATAAATCGGGAAAGGGAGGCCACTGAAGTAGTCACGCTGGGTACCTTGTACATTATTATTTGAGAAAAGGTATCACCAAGATAATCAATCGATTGATATATTAAGAAAAATGCCCAGAGTCTGCGTAGGTGTACATAGTACTGTCCATTAGATGTCAACTTCACCCTGTTCCCACCCTAGTTCTATCCATTAGATATCAACTTCACCCTGTTCCCACCCTAGTACTATCCATTACATATCAACTGCACCCCATCCCTAGTTCTATCCATTAGATATCAACTTCACCCTGTTCCCACCCTAGCTCATCATAACATATGTTCATCCAATCCCTGTCAAAACCCAAGCCCATTAGAACTAAGACTACATGACGAAATAAACGTCCATGTAGGTATAGTTGAACCAAAGAGGTTTCCGAACACCCCCAGTAGATAATATATCCACAACCATTGACGTGGATCCACAACCATTGACCACGTCAATAGTAGATATATATTTGTCCACTAAGGCAACCGACACACTGCTTAGACAGTGCCAGCAGGAGCTGCAGGCGCATCCATAGGTTGACGGGCCCCATGATTGACCTTAGGCTCGGTGCGGTAGGAAGTGCTGTTTTCATTGCGATAGGCCCAGAGGGCGGCGACTTCAAGGATCATGCCGAAGAAGGTGAAGATGCTGCGATGATATTAGTAATCAAATTGACAAGTAGCTGGGAGTATTCAGACCACGTACAAAGTCAAGAAGATGAAAGCTTCATTGGCGTACTTGTGCTTGCAGCCGATGCCTGCGGGGATAGCAGTGCGGCAATGGCCGGTATTGTAATCTTGCGCGGCGAAGATAAAGGCAGTCAACCAACTAGAATGGGTTAGACTTCAGTGTGGGTAATATGATTTGAATGTTCACATACAGGTAGGAGAACGCGACGTCGATAGCAAGCACGAGTTTACCCAACGACGAGGGTAGGAATGGCGAAACGAAAGCCGGGATGAAGAATACGATCGAGATGGTAGACTAAGCTTGCGGTTAGATCATATGGCTCTGTGATAACCGCCTAATCCAAACGTCAAACATACAATGACTTCCTGGTAGATGGTGTGTTGGCCACGCGGACCGTGGTTGATGAAGTACGAGGTCATACCCACGACGACGGCAGCGCAGGACCACTGCAGGAAGCGAATAATCAACTGCAGTGGCCGAGTGATGGATGTCGACAAGGCCATTGTGTAATGGAAAAAAAGTTCACGCCTATTGAGATAATCGAGATAATCGAGGAATAGATAGATAAAATCTGCCTAGTACCAGCGAGGTTTAATTAAATAAGACAAGCAGAGGAGAGGAAGACGGGTTTATATCCTCGAGATCTCAAGATCACTAAAGCAAACAAACAACCATAGCAGAAACAACTCATAGTCTACGCACAATAAGCAAGCATCCTCTATGCGTCACGATGGCCTCTGTATGAAGTCAGAACCAACCATTTCTGGGCCAGATCCCAATTCGGTCCTTTTTGAGTTTCGAAGACGCAATTGGAATTGTGATGCTGTTCAAGTTTTGTTTTATACAAAGCCATTATCTGACCTTGTGGCAACGAGAATGTCATGCCTTACGTTTGGATATTCTAAATTCCAAGGTTTATAAGAAATGGATAACGTCAAAATGAACGAAAAGACCAGTCGGCAACCTGCGGAAAGATCCAACGTCGGGTTAAACCTGATATGATAGTTCCTAACCGCCAATCAGAACGCAGATTGCACTCGCGTAACCAAAAAGACCAATCTATTACCGCCCTATATACCTTTTTCCATGCCTTCAGCCCTATGCTTTCGTTATCTAGGGATGGCATTCCTTTGCTCAGATACTTGGATTTGGATCAGCTATTCAATCCATTACTTGTGTTGTTTGATTGTGAAATTGCAAGCAATACCAGTTGTATAACTAATGCAATAACTCATATTCGTTGTACAACATCGTTGTCCTCGACCATGACGTGGATGGACTGGTCTACAAGAATGTTCCGACATAGCCGAGAACAAAAGTACAGAGCTGGTTCTTTTTATTCGTTAGTGGAAGCTATTCCATTTGGTTTTATGGCTATAGTTGTCATTGACCTCAAAATAATAACGTTAATTGCCCCCGAAGCCAAGCATATAAATGTCTCAGACCTCCAACTTTAAATATGGTTCATTGGTAGATAGCTTATATTTATTTCCCGTTATCCCTCCTTGAAAAAAAAAAAAAAAAAGCATTGGTCCTTCTTTCAGGGAGATCCCTAGTGATTAGAGCCAATGCTTGCTTAATTTTGCCGCGTATTCAGTTTCATCCCCTTGACATATTCACAACCTCCGCTTGTCCTAGCGTGGTTGCTCGCGCCTATAACTTGAGGGTTTTTTGCTCTGGCCATTGTTGAAGAGAGTGATCTGCCGGGAGACCGGAAAGAGAAAAAGAGATACAAAAGAGAAGACTAGGAGAGAGAGAGAGAGAAAAAGAAAAAGAAAAAGAGAGCGAGAGAGAGAGAGAGGATGTGAGTGTGGGTGTGGGTGTGGGTGTGGGGTGGGTGGGAAGAGAAGCATATACGACATGCAGGATTTGATGAGAGTGAAAGTCGTAGAAGAGAAAGACGGGAGCCGGCCCAATGAAGGCAAGACAGGCTTTGTTATCGTATAGTTATTCATACGGAGGGCCGAACATGTTATATTTCGCTTACTACCGCCAGACTCTGCAATAACATATTTTAAGAATCAAACCACGCCGGATAAGCAGACCATTCGACTCCAGTGCGCCCAAGCAGGTGTTTTCAGAACTTGTCTTTTTTACCATCACCATGTAGCATTGCCAAGTTCATGCTCCTTGATGTATTCGCTGCCCTTCTCCATGTATTCTTGCCGCGTGACCGAGGATCGGCCCAGGTCACCCCCAGAAGCCCACTGTGCCGCACCCTTCCAAGCATCGAAGACAGGATCAGATGCCTTGCGTACATTCAGTCTAGCGTCGATGGGTAGGAACCCACGGACTTCCTTGCGGAAGCGCTCATCGAAACCGGTGAACAACGTGTTTCCTCCAGTCAAGAACACATCCTTTAAAAGAAGGGACTGGTCTGCTGGGTTGGAATAGCGTTGGTTAATGATATCGGCCGCGATTTCAATGAGACCAGCCTGGTCGAGGCCGGCAATGGAGGGCTTGAACACAACCTCGGGCACACGAATGCGCTCCACATTCAGATGGAGCTGGTGTGCCTCCCGCTGGCTTTCTGGATCGAAAGGCCAAGGCCCGCGAAGGAACGCGTGCACAAGACTCTTTGTCCAGTCGGACTGTGCGGCGAAAGTGTTGTTCTCGTTGAATTCGGGATCGTACTCCAGCAGCTCCTTCTCCACAGAGTTAAGCATACCGTTGAGATCCTCCTCCTCTTCGTCGTCACTACCCTCGCCAACAGCTACGGTGCGGTAAACACCCCAATCCTCATCATTGGCACCGAAGTCATCGTCATCTCCGCCACGACGGCGTTTCTTAGGACCGTCGGATGCTAGGTTAGCCAGCGTCTTCATACGCATCTGACTGGCCAGAGATTTTCGATTTCCAAGATCAGCTGTGAAGCGGTCACGGTCTTTGATTCTTTGTAGAATGACCTAAGAAATATTAGCATGGAAATTTAAAATGTCATGAGTGGCCAACATACCTGGCGATTGTTGCGGCGCTTTGCAATCCAGTTTTCGAAATCGTTCTCACGTGTCTCACGGTCCAGGCGCTCCTCTTCCTCAATACGAGCCCTTTCGCGCTCCTTCTCTTCTTTGGCACGCAGTCTAGCGTCGACATTGGACTTCATGAGACGTTGGTGCCGCTTTTCCTTCAGTCCGGCCTCATCCAGTTGGTCATCTGGGATATCGAGCATAGGGAATGTCATTTCCTCAGGCTGCTCTTCGGTTTCTTCGATGCCTAGATCCTTGTTGCGCGAGCGTTTGATAGATTTCTCCAGCTCACGAATCAATTTCTCAAGCGCAACCTCGTCTTTCAAATCCTCGGCCTCCAAGATGCGACGAATCTCCTTCTTAGTCTCGTTGGCTAGATTGTGTTGCAGATCTTTCCAGTACTCCAGCTCTTGCTCCTTCTTCACTAGTTTCTCAAGTCGCATCCTTGCGGCCTGTTCTTGCAGGCGACGACCGCTCTCCTTCTTGCGTTCCGCAATCCGCGCGAGCTCTTCTTCAGTCTTCTCCTGAACAATGTGCTCTGTGAAGGGGTACTGAATGACGCGGTCACGGTCCTCGAGTCCTGTCCAATCAAGGAACCCATTCAACTCGCGATCGTAGTCTTGTGAGACGTAACAGTGCTTATGAAGCATTTCCTCCATCTGCGCGTCTGTCAAACGAGTCGGAAAGGTCGGGTACTTCAGCTTCATGAGCTTCATCAGGTATTCGGCGCTCTGCAGGCCACCCCAGTTGAGACGAGTGCTGTTGGAGAGTATGGGTTTCGAGTTCATGACCGGAATGACATGAGTAGACGTATGCGATGAATCCACAATTAAACCGTCTGTTCCACCATTATAGCGATAGGAGAAAAGGGAATCGATACCGTAGGCTACCGACGGCGCAGAGTAGCACTCGAAGAGGATTTCGTTCATCACTGAAGGAATGTCAGCAACCACCATAATAGCCCTACAACCGCCAGATACTCACTCTTCCTTGAATATGGCATATTTGCGATTGGCTCCGTCATTAAGATTGGGCGACCGACGCCCCCATTCGCACCGTCCACGCCCAGCTTGATGAACAGATAGTCCAACACACCTTCCATGACATCCCAGTTACCGACAACACTGGAACCGGGATCAAATCCATTGCGCAGTTGTCCCCTCGTAGTCGCATCAACGTAGGCATCGTATCCGATAAATTGGCACTGGCGATTGAGCTTGCGATCACGGTATCGGCTCATGACCGGAGGTATGGCGAATCGGGGGTTTTTGTCAAAAGACCAACCGGCCTTGACGAGGTGGGCACCTGCGCAGGAACCACATTTGTTAGTAGGGTTGAATCGCAAACTATGTGGAAATCCTTACCATTGTCAATAACGATGGCACTGGTGTCGGGATGGGCCTGGCTCTGCTGATATCCCTCGGGTTGCGGAGGGTGATAGCCCTTGAATGGAAAATCTTGTACACCGTGGAGTTGTGGAGGAGGCTTCTCAGCTCTTTTCTCAGAGGCATTGGCGGCAATGCGAGCTGGTAGGAGGCGCTGCACGGAGGTAATCGTCATGGCGGGCTGCACTCCGGAAACCAGGAGCTATTGGGATCGGATATTATAGGCGAGTAGGGCTCACTGCATGGGAGATGAGGTTGGGGTAGGAAGAAACCAATAAAGCCGTGGAAAGGGCAGCGGATTGACAAAGAGGCAAACGATACAAACGCGGTTGATGAGGTTTGGCGGAGTTGGACCGCCAAGGACGGAGGCTATCGCTATCGCTTCTATGGAATACAGGGATGGCAACGATTGCGACCATCTACATAAGGGCCTATTGAATTTGGAAGTTGTATCATTGACTAATTGCAGGCTCATCCACACATTTCTTCGTTACAGGAAATTGTTTATCGTTACAATTGCTTAGGATGGCTCTTGGAGGTTCTCCGTGGCTGTAGGGCGTTAGTAGAGAATTTCAAGGTTGATATATGGGAATATAGTAATGTATACCTTCGAGGTGGAAGAGAACATTAGACTGGTAGTTCTTGAACATCTGCGCCACAAGCTCAACATTCATGTTTTGGATGTTAACTTCCTGTGATTGAGAGTCAATACTATGATCATATCAACGAAAGAGGCCCAACCCTACCTGAAGACCTTTGTTCATGACCATAATGGCTTCATTCAGCTTCTCCTGTATAAAATGAGCAAAGCATATCCCATAGATGTGGTTCAATCATGACATACAACGTTACTGATGATGCGAGAGAGCAGCACTGTCTGCTGATGCTCGTGTGGGCTTTCCTAAAGAGACATCAGCATCTGGGATCTTCCAGGACATGTCAAATCTAACGCATGGAAGAAAAGCCACATACCATGGCTGAATGATGAGCAGCGTTGTGGTGGTGTTGGACGTGAATGTGTTTATTTGGATTTAATCGGGATGAGATCACGTGCGGCTATACAGACTTCACGGGCCGGGGATAGTTGCATTGCTTGAATGTTTCTACGTTGGACCTGACCTTTTCCGTTTCCCACTTTAATTGCTCTATATTATATAACCAAGTTCTGCCACTCAGGAATCTAATATTGTTTGATCGTTCCCATCCTCACCCCTGTCTTCGCACTCCTATCCACCCACACAGCCAAGCTACGCAAGAGCTACTTTCGCCGCGGCCTCGCAATTGACCATACCGCTGCCCTGAAGCATACTTAATACCATGCCTCCACCAAATGCCGCCAATGATGAAGCTCACCAGCAGCTGTTGAACGCTCTAGACATTTCACATGTCCACAAGCCCTTCCGCAACCCTTACTGGAAACCGTCCCAGCGACGCAACAAGAACCTGAAGCAGATTATTTCAGAGGCCTCCCGGAAGGAGGCATCGGTAATGGCAACTCAGGCCAACTCAGGCGCAACTACGCCAGGTGCCCCGGGCGTTGTCACCGATGGCACACAAACCCCGGCGGAAGGGGCTGCGCCCAACCTGTCCCAGGCCACCCAAAACCTCTCGACCCTCGTCTTGGAGAAGAACGCCCGGGCGACATTCCCGACTGGGCCCGCCGTCACTTACACGAACATCGAATCGGCGCCATCGTTTAACCCTGCCTACCACCATCACTACTGCGATATCACGGGCCTGAACGGACCGTACACCGACCCCAAGACCCGGCTGCGATATCACGACAAAGAGATCTTCAAGGTGATCCGGACGCTGGCACAGGGTGTTCCCGAAAACTACCTGGAAGCGCGCGGGGCGCACACCATTTTGAAGTAAAGGAGTGGCAGAAGCCTGCTTTATTCAATCCCCGCACGAACGATCATGCCAGAATGTGTATGTCATACAAGAACAAAGTTGGATAAGAACTATATTAATCAATTCAACTAGACACAAATACGAATCGCCGAGAAGCGTTATGTATGACCAAACACAGTCAAGCCCTTTCCACCCCACCATGCCCCTTTCGAGACAGGCTCAAGAAAACGCTCCGGCTTATTCGTGATCAATGAATCGTTCTTCGCCTTGTGCATAAGCACTCGACTATTACCGACACCCCATGGAACAGGGCACCAGTTACAGAATCCGAAGAGACTGTCGTCGCGGCGTGGCATGTACAGAATATCTGTAAAAGAAGATTCTGCAATAGGGGATAGCCCTATCTATGTATGAGTTATCGTTATTGTGGTTCAGTCGGTATATCTGAACACCAGTAAATTTAGACTGAAAGCTGAGATCGAGAAATTCACAGCAATTGGAACCACATCATTAATGACCCAATTGCCAATAAATTGACGAAAACTGTAAAGGAAAAGGACAGGTGGAACGATCGGCGCGCACTATAAGAACTTTGTAGTTACCGCCTACCATTCTAGACTTGGCGTCGATTACATGGCAGAATGGCGATTTTTGAGTTGTTTTCTGTTTACGTGCCTTGAGGACTTTATTACCTTTTGATCTGTTGTCTAGGACTTTCCAAGCCGTGAGGATACTATTACAATACTAGACTCGCTATCGTCCGCTTGGAACAACGCCACCAATATCTCCGCTTTGTCTCCGCCGTACCTAGCTTCTTTACCGATTCCACAACCACCGAAGACCATCACTTGTTTCTCAGATCGCAAAGTGTCGCGTTCTAAAACACTACGTCGAGAATATTTGCGCAACCCTTGATTCCATATATCATCGTCAACAGTCAAACCTGAAATAAACAAAGATGCCTAGCATGTGGTTAACAGAGAACCAGAGTCAGTCGCATTCGTTATACAAGCTGTGATGTCCACTGCCACGACAGTGACTATGTAGCAATTGTCGAGCATAGGCTAATCTATATAACAGAGATCGGCGTGATCTTCTGCTCAGCTGGTACGAGATTGGCGTCCCCAAAAGACCAATTACTTGGACCGAGGACTAACCAATTTTACTGTTGATTAGGAGGCTTGTTTCTATTTGGAGGAGTGGTGATGTTCTTTGACCGATCATTGTATGTCCATCCCGATGTTCCGCATTTTCTTGGGCAATAAATGCTAATATCCGTTTAATAGACTTGCTATGGGAAATGTACGACGTATTCCCCAAACACACTCGCTACACTTAACTAACAAAACCAGATCCTCTTTCTCATCGGATTGACTCTGATTATTGGTGTCCAGAAGACCATGGTCTTCTTCACGCGCCCGGCAAAACTCAAGGGCACTGCCGCTTTCGCCGTTGGTATCATCCTCATTCTCTTCCGCTGGCCCTTGACTGGGTTCTTGATAGAACTCTATGGCTTGTTCATCTTGTTTGGCGACTTCCTTGTCACGATCGGTCAATTTGCGGGCAACATCCCTGTGGTAGGGCCCTACATCCAGCGTGGACTGGAGGTACTTGCTGGCGGGAGGAGCAATGCCGAGCTTCCTGTCTGAGTATACAGTATACACAAGCAGGACCTTAGTCGATGAAGTTCCTTGATGGTATCTCAACCATCAAATATGTGGACGTTATCGTTTACGGTTGCGGGATATCAGATGCACATCCATGTTTGGAGATGTCCAAATACCCTGTGTTATACATGTGACACGGGATGATACGATCCAGCTACGCTTTCAGATTTATGTAATTAATAATGACCCTTATTGATCTTGCAGCGTTGACTCAACGGCTGGTGATCAGTTCATATGCATGTTAGAATAGACAAGTTACATTGTGCATCATACAATCTGGTTCGTATCCTCATGCTGTGCATTGGGAACCATGTCTAGATCGACGTGGCCCATCGAGGCAAAGAAATCCAGTCACAAAAGCCAAAAGAAGCATAAGCGAAATATCACGCTGGGCTCAAGAAAGAAATAGTCGAATGCTCCTTTATTTCTTATTCTTTCACAAACCCCTCAACTCATCACATCATTTAGTTATCATTGCATATTTTCCAATTTACCGGGCGTTGTTGAGGTAGTCGACGAGGTTCTCGACAACGGTGGCCGCGTTGGTGGTTTGGACGGACTCGTTGTGGTGGGCGATGATGGTGCAAGAGGAGGCACGGGAAATAATGATACCCTCCTTACCCTGTATCACAGAACAAAGAGATTAGCACAGATTCCGATGTTGTGTCTTGATATAATTGCCCAAGTGTTTATCGGGGAAACGGGTATGTTTACCTTCTTGCCGTATACACTGCGCTCGTCAGCCTTGATGGCGACAAACTTCTCACCGCAGACAGAGATGCCATCGGCAAAAGCCTTGTCGCTGGAAGTGTAAGCGGTGATCAAGGAGTTGATCTCCTCCTGGGAAAGCTATATTTAACTAACGTTAGCAACCGTGTCCAAGTCTGTGACCCCACCCCGCACGAGGAATAAACAACAGGCGAGCTTACCGCGAAGCCGGGCGAGGCAGCCTCAACACCAGAGAAGTCAGCAGCGAGAATACCAGCCTTGTCGAATTGACCCGAGCCCATCAGGCTGTGAGCAAGAAGCTTGTCAGTACATGGATCGGATAGACACGGAGGGATGATTTGGGTTCGATGGTAGGGTCGATGGGTATATTAGGAGTTGAGGGGTAGTTATGTACCTGGTGTCGACATAGCCTAGTCCAAGGAGAAATATGTTAGCGGACTTGAAGCAAGGGATGAACTGTCTGCAGTTCGAGGGTTCATACTTTGCCAGATTGCTGAGTGCTCGCCCATGATGACTGTAGAGAAAGAAAGAGAATAACGCTGATTTGAGTTAGACACGGAGAAGTAGAAAGCAAAACAGCGCACACCTGAATATACAGAAAAAAAGGAGAGCCGAGAGAAGAGAGAAAGTTGGTGGGGAGGGGGGGAGAAGTCGTGGCGGTCGGGAGAGGACCCCGCCATATGACGATCCCACCGTTTGCAACTTGAGATTCAAGCTTATAGCTTATTTATTTTATTTTTGAATAGGAATCTCTTACTTGCGCCAGATTTATGTAGGATAGTATATAATAAGCTAGGATGTAGGTGTGTATAGGATATCGAATATCCGATATTTTCGTAGACGAAGTAGCGGTGGGGAATCTCTACAAAATAGCAAGCTCACCTTCAACTTCGGATGTATCTACAACTGTTGTATTCGAAACTCATGTCGAGAGATATGTATGACATACATATAACATCCCGCTTTCACTCCCAGTCTGTACCGTCGATCACGATGCCTGAGTGCCTCTTAAGGTGTGATCCTGATGCTGATCTGACCGCTAGTTGGGATATTTGACGTCTTGTGACTTCCATGCAAAACCCAATACGATTGGAGCCAGAGCCTTGGCAAATTCGACTTATGCGAAGTCTCGGAGAATTATGTGGACATCTATGCTGTCCCCCTGATTCAAGGGTAAAACACAAAATAAAACGCCCCGTCACATTTTGACCGGATGAAACACGCCTCCTGCATGGCTTGACCCCTTCCAACGTGGTAGCGAGCTAATCAATCCGCAACCGATACGCTCATTCGTCCTACGGGAAATAAGCATCGCACACGGGCTTGAGGTTAGCGCTGAGACGCCCCTCGAATTCCAAAACAGAATTTCCTTTCGAGATTTCGGGCTGAATTCTCATGTCTCGTTGGTTCAGCCCCCAGACTAGGGCTTATTAGAGGCTATGGGAGCACCTATAGCAGATTTAGGGAGGTCTTGCAATATGAGAATTAATTTGGGCGTCTCATTTACATCGTGATTGACTCCACCCAATCTAGTTTGCTTTCATTAATATACCGGGTGACCCTCCTGGTATTCTGTTTTGTTTTTCTTTGGTCCTGTTAGCCTTCTGGAAAGGCTATATCTCTTCTACAGGCATTTGGGTTTTATATCATTCTCTGACCTTTTTTCTTGGCTTTTTTTTTTACACTTTTCGCATGTCGACCAGATCCCAATATTCTAGTAAGAGATGGCCAGGGGTATGACAGCAGTCCAGTCTCGCACACAATCCAAGGAGACCATCTCCTTTCCTGTTTTGACCTATACCGATGCGTTGCCGCGGAACGACCTTCAGTCTCTCGAGGCCTCACAGCGTCCCATTCAGCCAATGATTGAAAAATGGGATTTCAGTCAGCCCTCTGCGGGAGATGGCTGGTTCAGGAAGCCACCCCCGGACCAAGGCGCGACTTTCGACTTTCGCCTAACAGCGCCACCAGACGAAGCCATTCAATCTACCCGACCAGGGCGTACCCAAACGGAGCAACACATGATTGGCATTGCGCTGGGCAGTCCTGGCATGTTGGATAAAGACGAGCCTCTGCCGCTCCCCAGATTTGATACATCTATGTTTGCAGAAAGAGATTCGGCCAATAAGCCTAGCAAGTGGAAGAAGATTGGCGGATTCTTCAAGGCAAAGAATGCGTTTACATCGCCTCCGGATGCCCCACAAGAAACCACCTTCAAGCCACAAATCAACAAAGATAAACTACCAGAGAAACCGCACAAAGCAAGACTGAGAAAGAACTCGACAGAGGAATGGCCGAAGCTTGAGGTCGATCCTAGGAAGATGCCTATGCCTGGTCGAAGCGATCAAACTCCACTGCGGAGTCGAAACATTTCACTCAGCAATAAGGCACCCACGGAGGAACCAAGCACCCAGGGCCTGTTACTGAGTGTCGACATCCCAGATATTCAGATGGAGCGGTACAGTGTCATGTTCAGCAATGTCGTCCACAAGAACCAAAAGCCTTCACTGCTGGCCAGGAGGGCCAAGACATTGGACAACCTTCGCGTACCAGATGCAAATGTATGGACTTTCACCAATAAGAAACTAGTATAAGACTAACCGACTGATATAGGGTTTCCTAAGATCACCTACACCACCGCCAATGCCCCAACGCCGGGCGACATCACCAGCCCGATCAAGCTTCACCTTGTTTCCAGCTTCTCAGCCTTCGAAGGCGGCCCAGGTACTCGGCACACAGAATTTCTCCCGTGGGCCGAGCCCACTGGTCAGAGCAAACACACTCCCTACCGAGAGCCCATCGAAGATGCCTCCACCACAGCTCCACCATGGTTCAAATATGGGGAGCATGTCATCGTTCGAGTCACCCGTAATTCCAAAGCTCTTCACTGAGCGTTCCAATACACCACGCTCCTCTAGTAGCTACGACAAGCCTCTTCCTGCTATCAAACCGGAGTCACAGACTGCCCAATTACAGAAGAGTGCTCAGCCAGAAAAAGAAAACTCCATCCCCGCAGAAGACTCGGCCACAGCAGAGCGTCCAACCGCACAATACTATTGTAACAAAACCGGTTCAGCCTTGGGCTCAGCCACAACAGAGAAAGGATTCCCTGCCGCGAGCCATAGGAAAACAGCCTCGGGTTACTTCGCCAGAAAACAAGACAAAACATCAGCCCAATACGACATCAAACCACCACAGGACCAACGATTCAGTGCGACCGCATCTCAAAGTCCAAACCGAAGGCCGACCACCACCACTCGCAAAGGACACACTCTCTAGCAGTTCATCTAGAAGCTCTCCTTCAGCATTAAACCCGACCCAGAGCAAGATTGACCGAATTATGTCCCCATCATCAGCATCAACTGGTCCTAAATCCGGTGTATCGCCATCAGAGTCCACGCGCATGCCATTCGCCGATCCCGTTGGGACCACTGACACCGCTGAGAAGGAACCTGCACCCGGGCCTCGACGTCCTATCCCAAAGGTTGAGGTCTCAATAGCACGCTCTGTCTCCGTCTCGCGGGCGAAGCGGCAGGTTCTAGTTCCCATTGGCATGAAGATTGACCACTTAAACCCGGACGAGCGGGTTGTGCATAGAAGACCTCTGACGCCGCAGATTACAGATGCTCACCGGGGCCATCGGCCTGGCGTCTCGCAGGAGTTGCGGATAGAATGTCTGTGACATTCTACCGCGCCATTCTTTCATTCTTTTTTTCTTAGCTTTTTTGTTTCATACCCTTTGCTACTTCTTATCCATTGTCCATACGTATCTTTCGTTCTACATATAGTCTTTATACTTTTACAATGTCCTAATGCATGCCTTGACTGGCTCTTATCGTTCATCGTCTTATTTTTTAGCCCTGTGTTGTGGTGTGTTGGATGCTTGGCACAATTACATCTCGCATGCACTTGCTTGTTCTAGTAAGTGTAGATTAATAGAGCACCTGGGCCAATCATTCTAAGATCTTGTTCAAGCATAGCTCCAAATGACGAATTTGCATAAACTCGATTCGAGTTCGTCGATTCGTTGTTTCTCTTAATCTAATGTATGAGTCACGAGGCTTCCATGCGCCCGCTGTTTATTTCGCTGCAACACCACAATAGTTAGACATTGAAATAGACCAGACAAACCATTGCATGTTTGCCAGAAGATCGACAAAATGGAACCTCCAAAGCCGGCCTCCGCCTATACACCGGCCCAATTAACGAAGTATTTGAACTATATCGCTCTACCACACCAATATGCACCATATATCAACAACCCGGGATCATTCCCCCAAACCGAAGAAGCATTGAAAGATCTCTTCCGGTGCCAGATCACTCGATTCCCATACGACAACCTAACATGTCACTATTCCGCTACCCAACTAGCAGAGATCCAACCCCACAGAATCTACACCAAAGTCATCGGGTGTGACGACACAACCCCCTCCTGTCGAGGAGGCTACTGTTTGGAACTGAGTATTTTCTTCCACCATGTGCTACGTGGCCTAGGATTCTCGGTGTACCTGACGGGCGTTCGGAACCGGGAACGGATTGATGGTATACCGCAAGGAGAATTCAAAGGATGGTAAGAGGATTATCCAAGATCACAAAACCCAGTGAACACGAATACGCGATATAGCACAGAAGAAAAACGACTAAACGATGAACCAAGGACACACATCGTGAACATCGTCCGTCTACCTAGCGGTGCAGAGTACCATCTGGACGCGGCATTCGGCGGAGACGGGCCAACTAGTCCTTTGCCATTGATATCGGGTCAGATAACACAGAATCTGGGCTCTCAGGAAGTGCGATTGATTTACGACAACATGCCGAAACAGACACGCAAAGAGCAGAAGGTCTGGATATACCAATATCGCAATAGTGCGGACAAGCCGTGGAATTCGTTCTATTCGTTTGCAGAACTGGAGTTTTTTCAAGAAGATTTCGAAGTGATCAATCGATTTACGAGCTGGGAAGCTGTGGAAAAATCCAGATTCGTAGTGGTGAAGTTCATTCGAAATGGGGAGACGGCGGGATTGCCTTTGTTGGAGGGAGAAGTGTTGGAGAAGACGGATGATGTTTCTATCGCTGGGAAGATCATGATGGCTAACAATGTCATCAAGTTGAATATGGGCGGTAGGACGAGGATCATTGATTCATTTGAAAGTGAGGAGGGGAGGTTTGAAGCGCTGAAGAAGTGGTTTTCTATCTATTTGTAAATTACTTCGCACCGAGCTGGATCACTATGGACATACAACTCACGCGCATAAATGCACTGCGGATTATGTTACAATGTCTACAGAATCATCGCTGTGGTATATAACATTGATTGCATTGTTACGGTCCGATGTGGAAAATGGATAGGTTGCATTTTTCTAACTTGTTTATAAACATCTATCGATCAATAGCTTGAGCATGGGTTAGTCCTTGGTAGGAACGCTGGACTCTTCCACAGTTTGCGTCTCGATGTCAGTGTCCAAATTCACCTCGACATTGGAGACAGCCCATGCCATCCCAACGTATGAGTCACTAATGACCCTGATATTCACCCGGGCTGTGTTGGTACTGGTGGATTGCGCGACGATGCCTTCGGGGAATTTAACATTGGAGCGAACCGTCAAGAGGCCACCCTTGTTATCCTTGGCAGGTCCTCCACGACTGGAACCAGCACCGTGATTGTCCTTGCCCTTGCCGTTGCCATTGCGCTTGGATACGGGTGGCCAAGACACACGCTTCAAGCCAAGTAATTCACCATCCGTGCCATTAGGCAACGCACTGCAAACAACCAAGAAGAAGCCTTCGGTTTGTGGCTTGGGGAAACGAGGGGCGAACACCTTGCATTCGGGGGTTGTGGGCTGGTTACGCCGTGTTAGAGACACAGCAACACCCTTGGCAGAAACACTCGCAACCGAGACCGACAGCTGGGGCAGCTGGGACGTAATGCGAGTAAAGTTAAATGGAAGGTTTAATTTCTTGACCAGAGCAGCAACTGCACCAGCAGGCTGTGACGAGAGCGATACAAGGGTTCCCGGGAGACCGCTGGGTGGCTTCTCGGTCGGAACGCCTGGCAGGATCGACAATGGGTGGTCTTCAGGCCAGCGCGCTGACTTGATGCATTGGAGAAGAGTCATGAGCATCTGACACGCAGGGAGATATCCGAGTTCAGCCATCACATCGATTGAGGCTTGGATGACACGAATGCCCTGATCGAGCACAGACGTTTGATCACCAACATAATCAGTGATTGGAAGATCGATCCGCGACATATAGGCCTGTAGAAGGAGGAACGCCTTGGTATGGGGATCCCAGAGGGGGGCATCGCCCATGCATTCAATAGAAAGCGGCAAGTTCTGGGCCAACTCAGCATTGATCAGATCTTCATTGTGTCTGACGGGCAGCTCGTCGAATTCAGTTGCGGAACACATCCAACTCAAGACATCCTGGAAACTCGGATCACGCTTGGCATGGGACATGAGGAAGCGGATCGTCTTGTGCGATAGGTAGTAGTAACTCATGATCTTGCCGAAGGGAGTGGAGTCGACCTCTCCGGTGGCCGAATCCACGAGAACACAGGACGATTCAGCGAGATCATTGAGCGACTTTCCAACCAATTCAACCATAAAATCTTGAGCTGTGGCCTGAGCTGCCATGGTGTTTTGCTCCTCTGCAGAGATCTCGAGGCCGTAGTATGAGGGGTTCTTGTGCAATCGACGGAAGAAGAATGTCCACGTCAAGTAGTCCAAAGCATCTTGTTGCGTTCCAATAGTTCCAGCAGATACCTCAGCGCCAAGATGGTTGTCAAGAACCTTGTGCAGGGTCGACTCGACAGGGAAACCCGTGTGGAGGAAGTGCTTGTAGAAAGCCTTCTTAGAGTCCTGGGTGAAGATGCGCGCAATACCGGAGGTATCGAACTGCGGGCGACCAGCACGACCGAGCATTTGCAGAACATCGGTCAAGTCCATGTCCCGATAACCCTCGATCTTAGCGTCGAAGAACTGTGTGCCTTTGACCACTACAAGATGCGCCGGAAGGTTAACACCCCACGCAAGAGTACTGGTCGCCACAAGAATTTGAATCTTGTTGTTGGCAAAGAGTTCTTCTGCTAGCTGACGATCAGATTCAACCAAACCAGCATGATGCAAGCCTATACCAAAGTTAAGGGCTTCCTTTAGAGCATCATCTTTCACTCGCGCGAGGTTCAACTGCAGATCATCCTCAGACATTCGCACAAACCGACGAGGATTATCCTCCATACCGCAGTAATTGATTAAATCCTTAGCAGTCAGACGAGTTTGTCGGCGGGAAGCAACGAAGACAATGACTGGTTTCTCCGGTGAATGGTTCTTGATCGCGAGGAAAGTTGGGCGATTCATTGACTGCATCAGGGGACAGAAACCACGCTGTTCAGGGAACCCATCGATGAAAATCTCGAGGGGAACCGGGCGAACTGAATGACGGAAGTTGTACAGTCCTTCTTTGACACCAAGCCAGTTGGCCAGATCAGAAGCATTGGCACAGGCGGTGGACATACCCATCAGTCGAACGGATCCTTTGGACTGCGAGGCGATATAGTTCATCCGGGAAACAATGATTTCCAAAATGGGACCTCGATCACCACCGAGCAAGTGAATCTCGTCAATAATCACGAGGCTCACTTTCCTGACGTAGTCACGGGTCTGCCAACTACGTGAGATACCGTCCCATTTCTCAGGTGTGGTGATAATGATGTCGGCATCCCGAATAGTACGCGTGTCAGGTGTATTGTCACCAGTCAACTCAACAAGTTTTAACCCCATCTGGCGAGTGAGGCGCTTACGCCAGTCTTGAACTCGTTCACGAACCAATGCCTTCATCGGCGCAATATAGACAACCTTGGAGCCGGGCTTCTCACGGAAAGCCCACCACATTGCCAGCTCAGCTGCAACAGTCTTTCCACTACCAGTTGGAGAACCAAGGAGAACGTTGGCCGGTGTGTGGTAAAGGAGATGGAAAATCTGTGTTTGCATAGGGTTGAAGAATTGGAAGCGTTGCCCATACACTTCCTCAAGAATGGGATTCTTAAGAGCCGATATAGGAAGCGGCTGAAGATTGAGTAGATCAGTATACACGCTTTCAGTGTCCGGGCGAATGAGGTGCTGGAAAGAAACTGGGCTAACAGTTTCAGCACCCAGCCAGCGATCAGAGATCAAACGAATGTAGATTTGGCTGGGAAGGGGATCAGACAGCGGAATAGTGAAGTTAAGCTCATGATCAGCGTAAAGCTTCTTCCGGCTTAGGATGAAGTACTCATGGTGATAGATTTCTGATGTTTCCGAGTTCTCGACCCAGACCCAGAAGGATTCTGATGCACCGTGATGACGGTCATTCCAGGTGAATTCCGGGAAGATGGAAAGGCGAATACGAAGCACGTCGCGGTTGAGCGGCGCAATCTCGGTCTCAACACTAAGAGTTGGGAAATTGTCCAGGAGCTTAGACAATGTGTTGCCCATGCGGTGGTTATGAACAAGTTGACCAATCTCCGCAGGCTCCATTTCCTTCATAGACTCAATAGAAGTAGTTGGAAGCTTGTCGTCAAGGTTACGTAGAATCGGTTGAGGCAAATCGAACTGACGGAAGGGGTGATCAAAGGGCCAGATCTGTTTCTCAATAGACTTGCAAAGAGACAACAGAACTTGGCATTGATAGCCCCAGCGACGATTCAACGCAATCATGAAGAGAGCACGGCAGATACGTGCGGCGTTTTGGGCAACATAGCCAGTGTCGGAGGCTAAAGCAAAGTCCTCAATCTTGGCGCGAGAGATATAGGCTTGCAACAAGAGGTTTGTCTTCGCATGTGGAGTGTCGTTTCCCCCGGCAACTTCAGTCTGCGCGACTTCCTCACGCAGTCGCTGAAGCTCCTTTGACTCGCTGTCCCTAGATTGAATGTTGTCGAATTCTCCACTCATACTGATCATTTTGAGTACATCTGCCTCACCAGATCGGGGACGCATCATATCGTTGAAAATCTCGATACTGGTTTGCAATACATAGTATTGACTCGCAATGCGACCAACATCCTTGGCTTTGAGATCTTCAGTCTTGTCGTTGAAGATGATCATCTGACTCTTTTGTAGCACCCGTGCTGCTTGTATGATCAACTGCCTCCGCCTTTGAACCAACATTGGATCATCGCGTAGCTCAGCAAACTCGATTCCGTAGTTCCTCGGCTCACGTTTCATGCGCACATAAAGGTACGAGTAGCCAAGCCATTGCACAGCTTCTGGAACAGATGTGACTGTTCCAAGCGAGATTTCGGCATTCAAGTTATCCACAAGTCGACTAGAGAAGCGCGACTCGATGGGCTGCTGTGCAGTCACAGCAGACAGGTAGTGGGTCAACTTGTCATGAGTAGTACAGATAAACCCAATACCGGTGTCCTGGAATTGTGGACGACCGGCACGGCCAAAGATTTGCATGACGTCGAGAATGCTCAGGTCAATGAATTTACCCTCTTGTGGGTTATACAACTGAGTACCTTTGATAACAACTGCGGCTGCAGGAAGGTTGACACCCCAGGCTAAGGTGGCGGTACAGCAAAGTACCTTGATTAGACCTTCTGAAAACATTCGCTCCATCAGATTGCGGTCGCTTCGAGACATTCCGGCATGATGTGTTCCAAATCCGCTGGCGAAGAGGTCCCGTAGTTCACGTGCACGCGCATGTTTCATGTCACGAAGGGCATTGGAGTAGTTTTCGTGATCATGGCAGCTGAATAAATCCTCTCGTCCCTCCTCCGCGGCTAGCTGCATAAGCATCCTGGCAGTCATTACGGTATCTTTGCGCGAGTGGACGAAAACCATGACTTGGTGGCCTCTCTCCATCATGTCGCGAACCTTCTCATAGGCGACAGAGTCAATGTTGTCGCGAGATTGTTTGGAGCCGGGCTTTCCTTTGACACCGATGAAATGTTGCTCAAGAGGTACAGGTCGGAATGATTGGTCGAAGAAGAACATGCCGGCCATTTTGTTCACTTTCAAGAAGTCCGCCACATCAGTATAGTTTGGAAGGGTGGCTGATAAACCGATGATACGAATCAGAGACTGCGTGCTTTCAACCTGACGTTGAGTTCGAGCGACCAAGGATTCGATGACTGCTCCTCGCTCATCGTGCAGCATGTGGACTTCATCGATAATGAGAAGGCGGACTTTCTGAACAAGCTCTGTGTCTCCAGTGCTTTTCCGCGTTACAACATCCCATTTCTCAGGGGTAGTAACAATGATCTGGGTATCAACGATTTCCCGCTTGGTCAACTGCATATCACCAGTCAGTTCGCGCACCTTGACGCCCAACCAGGCTAAACGCTTGCCGAGTTTCTCCGTCACCTCGGCAGCCAAAGCCTTCATGGGAGCAACATAAACAATCTTAAAGTCATCAACTTGGACGGTGAATTCAGTCGCTTCTGGGTTTTCTAACGGATTTGGAGATGTGTTTTTGCCCACAGCATTGAGAATAGTCAACATGGCAGCATCCGTTTTACCCGCACCAGTCGGCGCGCAAATAAGCATATTTTCGTTGGTTTTGTATGCAACATCGTAGAGCAAGCTTTGCATACGATTGAGGGCTTTGTAGCCCTTGAAGGTACCCTGACAAAGGCCATCCATTTCAGCGATCTCCACCAGTTTCCGGCCCTTGCCCAGCGTTCCAACCTTCGCCGCCGGGATCGCGAATTCAGTGTATTTCGGCTCCTCGATCTGCTCGCTACCCACAGGCAACCCATATTTCCTCCCATTGGCAGAAAGTGTATTTCCAGAGGTGTGTTGTTTGAAAACATGCGGGTAGGAGGGCTCCGATCGGGTTTGGGCCGGCATCAACGCTGCACTCTTATGTTCGTAGTCGCGCTGTTGCAGAGCATGTTCTCTCTCTGCTCGTGTTTGCAGTCTACCTGCCGCAAGCCCATCTGTCTGGGATTCCAGGCGGGGTCCCTTGTCCGACAGAATTTCTCCTCGGTGTGCAATGAGCTCAATCACCAGATCCAGGTCATCGAATCCAACAACCTCAGCCAAAGACATCTGCAGCTCCTCGTCGTTGCTGTCGGTCGCCAGGGTGGCGATGAGTTGTTGAGCTAGCTCTGTTGCATCTATACTTGAGTTTCGCATAGCCAAATCCTGGCATTTGTCTTCTAGCCAGAACCGATTGTAGGATCCTTCTGCGAGATGAAGTCCGTCGAGTCCATCCAAGTCGTCCAAGTCGTCGGAAGTCTCATCATCCGAGCTGATAATATCCCACACATCATCATTTGTTCCCGGGGATGAGTAGTCGTCGTCAATGTCGAGATCAATATCGCTTCCATAGCTGATCGATTCATGAGGGAGGTTTTGGGGGAGTTTCAGATCGGCAATGGCCTGGCGCATAGCTGCTAGTTGTGACAGCCATTGCGACTCGGTAGCTGCGATGCTGTCCATGTTCGCCAGATAAGTCTGTTCAGTTGACTTGACGATAAAGAAGTGATAAGCCAAGCAACAAAGAATGAGGGGATAAGCTGAGCCAAAGTAGTTATAGGGCAGTCCCGCAGGGCTCAGCCGGTCGCATGACAAGAGCGGTGTACTTTCTTATGCCTCAGGCCACAATGCAGAGGGTCCAGTGCATCATTGTTATCGGCAACTCAGGAGCCCATTTTAGCCTTAACACTTGTCACTTTGCTTTACCACTTCACCCAATCCCGCAGCTGACCTCCTACGACAAAGAAGTTGCCTGCTTGTTTGACACAAGCGCATTTCCTTGATAAGCACCTGCTGCCACCTAACGCCCCACTACCCCCGACACCTACTTGGCTCCTTGTCCTTGTGCGGACAACCACGCTGTCACCATGAAGATTCTTTATATGGGCGTATGTTTTATTTCGTCTTCGACTTGATCAAGTATAAGCTTAGAAATGGTACTTATCTGTGAATATCGCAGGTTTTCCGGAACGACACTCAACCAGCTCTCCAGCTATGCGGGGAAAAGGACCTCAGCAGGTAGTCTCACATGCGCGCCCTACAACCGACTGGAACGTTTCGCTAATTATTACTAGCTTTTCGCGCTTCACTCGTCAGAAGTATGCCCACCCACCCTCTCCCTTCGACACGGCTAGGTCACTAACCGCCAAGCGCTTAACAGCTACGATGAATTCCTGATGCTCTTCAACCGAACGGTCGCCGAGAAGACAAAGGCAGGCCAACGACAGGATATTGAAGAGAAGGCCTACACATTCCACGCTTACGGACGGACAGAGGGTGTTGCCGGTGTTATTGTGACAGATGGGGACTACCCTGCCCTGGTGGCCCACCAGCTTTTGGGCAAGATTGTAGACGAGTTCCTCGCGAAATACCCACGCACTGCCTTCTCCGATCCCTCTTTGCGCGAGAATGCGTGCCCCTTGCCGCAGCTCAAGGAATATATCGTCAAGTACCAGGACCCAAGCCAGGCCGACAGCATCATGAAGATCCAGCAGGAGCTTGACGAAACCAAGATTGTGTTGCACAAGACGGTATGCTCTTGTGTCTGTAAGAGCCCATTTTGCATGCTAACCATTTTCAGATCGAAAGTGTTTTGGAACGTGGCGAGAAGATCGACTCCCTGGTTCAGAAGAGTGATGGGCTATCAGCTCAGAGCAAGATGTTCTATACCCAGGTATGTAAATCCAATGTCGCCTTCACCCGAATGTACTAACGCAACCAAATCCAGGCCAAGAAGCAAAACTCTTGCTGCGTTTTGATGTAAACCGGGATCAGCGGTACATTATGTATTCGATTATGACTGCTTGTTCTTGGATTTACCTTACTCGTGTAATCAGACGCCGAAACGATACATTTCTTTGCTATTGTATCTGCTCTTATTTTTCGATGCCTATTTTTTTGTATCAAGTTCTCAATTAGGAAGATCTCTTTGTCATGTTCTTCTGTAAAGACTTTGTTATACCTATGCATTGGGAAATTTTCCCAACTAGTTCCAATAAAGGGGTCACCGAAAGCTTATACAATGGCAAGATGTCAGAGTACAGAGAATAATAATTATAACTAGATCGCGATCAGATATAGCTGAGCCTAGACGTGGAGGCATAAATGGCGTTTCTGCCCAGGTAGCTCTGGTGGGCCCGCCGGGGCCCCGGGGGTGTATCAATTACGTTATGAACAGTCTCCAGGGCTGGTGACTTCCAATCCCCGAAGGATTTTTTATTTAAACAGAAGCCTGCAAGTAGTATTCAATAGCCATGCGGGCATTACAACACATATTGTCACAAAGTACAAACTATCTTACGAGCAATGCTATCTGCGTCGCGGCAATGCTCAGCTATTCTAAAAACCTAGCTGGCAGACCAGAAGCAGCCTAGGCTGAGCATGTCCATGGCGCAACAATCATACTTGAAATAGGTGGCCCAGAGAGTTGCCAGGATGGGTTTTTGCACCATCTTTTCAATCATCTAAAGTTGATGATTGTGAGTGTTATCCTGCGGACTTGCTGAATATATTGATCTTATTGAGATGTTTTGCTGAAACATATATATCCATGCGCAGTTTACCGCCGCGATATCTAGAAATGAGCAGCCTGCGTTTGCCTCGCGGACTTCATAAGTATTGGCTTCTATTGCTACGCAAAGTTATAATTCCCCACGAGGATTCCCTGCATATTAGTCTGAACTTGCTCAGTTTCTTTATAGAAATCATTGATCCTAAACTTTATGCTTTTCCGCCCTTTCCCGACTTTTTCCGCCTATAAAATTAAGGAGGGGGTATCTATAATAAATATTACTAAAAAGACATCACAAGTGATAAAGGGCGACTACTCTTGAATATCTGAGAAAACTACTAAAAAAACATCCCAAGGACACATACGCCGACTAGGTATTTTTATGCATAGATCGTCCGCCGTACCTGTAATTGGTAGATTTGCTGCAGCCTAGCCTAATACGGTTAGCCTCTTACCCACGTTGGACTAACCTTAATTGTGCCAATTTATCGATGCAAACAGGCAGTGCCGAAGGGAAAGATACCGAGGGCGCCACTTCGCAGTGGACTGGCATCAGCCGTAAATCAACGCAATTTGGGAATCTGCCCACAAGACCCATACCAGAAAGCGTGAAATAGGCATGTTGAAAGAGTATGCTATGTTGTAATGAAAATAATGAGTGAGAGAGTTTTGATAAGTCCTAGTTATTTTGTTGACTAACAGCTGCGACAGGCCTCTTCTTTGGTTATATGAGCAACCATGTTCGCGCGGTGACGGAGTATAACATTGCACATCGTGTTGTGCGAGTAATTTCCAGTGATAATTGAAGAGAACTATGGACAGCTTTCTGACTTGCACTGAGATAGGGAGAATAGCATGGCATTGCCGCATATTGGTTCGCGGCAAGGGGTTCGTGGACTCGTCGCTTAACATGGACTTTTGGACACCATGTTTTGGCAACTGCTTACTACGTCGATCACAGATGAAATGCTATCTTATTATAGAAATGTCTCCTTCAGGTGCCAGTTACTATAGCCATCCTATCGGGGACCCCGAAACAAGGACGTTCGATCCATACTGAGTCTTAAATCTCTAACGGCGGTCGGCAATTATTACCTCATTATATAGGGAGGCACCGCCGATCTCCAGCGCCCGGGCAATTTGACGCGCATTCATAGGTATGTAAGTGTGCCTGTCGTTGGAAGCATATTGGCGCATGATAAGAGCAAGCCGTTTAACGTAGGTAGTCTTGTATAATACGCCAGCAGGTAAAATATTCCTTCTCAGATAGGCCCTCATCTTATGGCTTGAGAATGGCGCAATATGTGCGCTGCTCGCCTGGTTCACTTTAATTTAAATTCCGGTTCAATCCTCCATTGGATCCGGATTCCTGTATAGACTATCCCATCTGCCTGGCTGATACCAGATACTTTAAATGGAAGTTGGGTTCGATAATCCAGGATCCGAGCCTTACGCATTTCAACCCGCTGCCGCCACTTTTGGATGTTTGAGAGTTAAGGGGTGGGGTGCTTATCTGAGGTCTGAAAATTGGCGTTCAAGTAGTTTTGCCCCGAGCTAGACCAGATGATATATTTCCACGCAATGAGCATTCATATAGTTAATCGGATCCGGAGGATAGGGGAAATACCCACCGAGTATGCCCTGGCCAAGAGTGGCGTCCCAGCTAAGCTCAAAAGATATCTCTGGGCTCTCATCATGATTGGCTATGAATGCCCCGATATCAAAATCTTACTTCCAAGGCTAGAAGCTTGAAAGTACAGAATGTCTTATCTTTACCTTGCCGTATGCCTGCATCTGGACAACCTTTCCACAAAGTACTGAGCAAATCTGACTTGATGCCTTTCTTATCACAGACGGAATACAAGTCAGCCAGGTATCAGGGCTGGACTTGTATATAAATTGGCAGTCGCCGTCGATAGGTTTTCTTGCCTGCATTAGTTTGAAATCCAAAACCATGGCCGCCATGGACTCGGACATCGAGAAGAAGCCAGTCACTACCGTGGAGCCATCTGAAAGCCCCCATCCAGGCGAAGATGATTTGGAGGTCGGTAAAATCAACCCGCTGAAGCGGAATCTGAAGAACCGCCATATGCAGATGATCGCTGTTGGTAAGTATCCTTTGACAGTTTTGACTTTTCTTCTGATACTAATTTCAGCAAGGCGGCGCTATTGGTGCTGGCCTTTTTGTTAGTACGGGGTCTGCGCTCCGCACTGGAGGGCCTGGTGCTTTGTTGATATGCTACTTGGTTGTTGGAGGAATGCTTCTTCTTACGATTCAAGCTCTGGGCGAGTTGGCGGTGTTATATCCCGTGAATGGAGCCTTTTTCACATATTGTGTCCGGTTCATTAGTCCAGCCTGGTGAGTATTCGGTGTTCATGTGCTAAATTCATGATCAGCTAAAACTGACTACTCATTCCATAACAGGGGATTTGCGGTCGGCTGGGACTACGCCATTCAATGGCTCATTATTCTTCCCTTCGAACTTACGGCCGCAAGTTTAACAATTAAATACTGGAGTGAAACTTTAAACAGTGGAATTTGGATCGCTGTGTTTCTAGTCGTCCTAACTTCGATCCAATTCTTTGGAGTTCGAGGCTACGGAGAAGGTGAGACTCAGAATCTATATGTCTTTCCGAGATACATGGGTAATAACCTCAGTCTACAGTCGAATTTGTGCTCGGAGCGATCAAGGTCACTGCTGTCATTGGCTTTATTATACTTGGAATTGTGATCGATTGCGGTGGAGCCCCAAACGGAGGTTACATTGGAGCTCGCTATTGGAGCGATCCTGGTGCATTCACAGACTTCAAGGGATTCTGTTCTGTCTTTGTGACAGCAGCCTTTGCCTTTGGTGGCACAGAAATGGCTGGTCTTGCTGCTGCAGAGGCCACAAACCCTGCCAAGTCTATCCCCAAAGCATCCAAGCAGGTCTTCTGGCGCATCATGATCTTCTACGTCCTGGGGACCTTTATCGTTGGCTTGATTGTGCCTTCCAACGCCGAATGGCTTCTCGGCGCGTCTGGTGCCAATACCAAGGCATCTCCATTTGTCGTATCAATCCAGAATGCCGGTATCTCCGGACTGCCATCTGTCATGAATGCAATCATCACTATCTCGGTCATTAGCGTGGCCAACTCCGCGACGTATGCCTCCAGCCGCACTATCCAGGCTCTGGCTTCACGAGGAATGGCACCGCGAATCATGGCATATATCGACAAGGGAGGTCGTCCTCTTTACTGCATTATTCTGCAAATTATTTTTGGTCTCCTGGCCTTCGTCAATGAGGCACCGTCTGGAAGCACTATCTTTGACTGGCTTCTTGCCTTGTCGGGTATTTCTGACTTCTTCGTCTGGGGAAGCATCTGCCTTGCCCATATCCGTTTCCGTTCCGCCTGGGCCCATAACGGGCACACCGTAAAGGAGCTTACCTATGCTGCTCCCTTTGGTGTGATTGGGAGTTATATTGGTCTAAGTCTTAATGTCTTGTGCCTCATCGCAGAATTTTATGTCTCTGTGGCTTCAAAGAATGCGGAGACATTTTTCATGAACTATCTTGCTGGGCCACTTGTCATACTGCTTTTCGTCGGCTGGCTTGTGTACACCAAGTTGAATAAAGATCCGCGTCTCGATCGTGGAGGGTGGTTCATCCCAATTGAGAAGATGGACATCAACAGCTTTATCAGGGACTCCACTCTCGATGTGGACCTTCCACCAAGAGTCGAATATCCCACTTGGAGTTCTTGGTTCAAAGCTGCTCCTATGCGTATAGTTCGCTCAATCATTTGAGAGAAGGAAGGCCGTTAGCATAGTTCACAGTCGGAATGGAAATATTTTTATCTAAGTAGGTAATGCCACAACTTTATATATCTCAATATTGAAAACGACACCGTGCAGAGTGTCGTAGTTGCCCACGTCTATATGCCTCGATAGAAAATCCAGATGATTCATTTTGTATGACTTGCAAATTCACCTTGGGGGAGCGCCATCCATGTCGTCTTTAGTCTTTTTAGTCTCTCATCCTGTCTCTCATGCCCAATTCTTTTAAATCTCAACCTTCTCTCGCAGCTTCGCAACATTCTTATGCCGTGGCTTTAATTTGATGCGGAACGCCACTAGAGAACGCCCAGAGAGGCCATCGTATTCTTTCAAATCGGTCACAAAGGTAAGTTTACAGAATCAACGGGCAAGGGATTAAGCAAAGCCTCAGTGCTGTTGTATATAACAGACATATCATTAAGATGTTTGATAACCTGGGTTGTAGGAGTTGATCGACGGGAACATTACCGTTTTACACAAACTAAAAATTTATAGTCGGTCACATATTCCTGTGTGGAAGGTGTAGGAGAACAGTTTTCTTTGGACAACCGGAGTTCCGAATTGAGGAGCATATGCGTGAGGTTCACTCATTCCTCAATCCAGGCATTATAATGATGTTGACGAGTATTTACGCCTCTGAGGAGCCACATGTAGTCGAATTTGTGGCATTGGTAGCGCAGAAGTAATTTGGCTAGAGAGAAGACGTATATAGCCTGGTTTTGGTTCTGGTAATTAATCTAGTTCTCTGACCATGGCAGCTGAAATTGTACCCATAACTGTAGGTTGTCTGAATTAGCCCTCTAGTTGACATGGCCCTTGGTTCCCATAACCGTTTCCTTTCATCAAGTCCTCTCATATTGTGTTGTCACTTTTCATTGGTCAAAAAAAAACAAATTGTTATTGCAAAAGAACCTTGTAAAACCTAACGGAGCTTAGTGGAATCAAGGCGGCAGCCAATACGGGTGATGAAGTTTTCCACGCCCAACGTCCGCTCTGCCACCTTAGTAGAATTGCCGTGAATCTTAGCCGAGACGCCGTGATGGTTAGAATGTCAGGGATTGTCTCGGCCGCAAGGAAACACAAATCGCATGTTTGAGGCTGATCGTACAATCTATTGACGATAAAGTCCTTGGGGACTGAAACTCGATCTGTTCAGATCTCAGATCTGAACCTTGGAATTCACTTCCATTGAAAGTTCCCTGGCAGATCCATGGCCTTGGCGACCCGTGAGGCTACGCGGGTCGGGGCGAGGCCCGACAATCCCGTGGCCTAAAAAGCTCACAACATACTGAGTACGGAGTACCGGTTTCTTATCGTGCACAATTAATATTCGAATTAATATAGCAAATATAATCTTTTCCTTCCCAGGTGAGTCATAAAAAAATTAGTTTAGGGGTCATTCTATGTACAAAAGTCACCGGAAATCACATCCAGACATGCCGGACAAGCGAGACATTGTAATTCTATTCCCGATCAACTTCCTTTTATTACCACAACAAGGGATGTACCACAATAACATTCCCCAGAAACCCCGTAACATTGATCTGGCGACATTGCGATCAAGGCGTATATAGCTCTATTTCGAGTTTCTACCCTGAGGAAGAACAGGTTTAGCGGCCGGCAGACTTATCCAGAAAACGGGATACCGGCGCTGGATGTTATTGACGATCAAAGCTACAGCCAGGAGCATAGTCGACGAAAGTAAAACAACTGGCAGATAGTACCAAGATAGTGCCCACACAGCTTGATCCACTGCGGGAAGGAGGGCCGTGGCGCCGGCTGGAGGATGAGTTGTCTCGGTAATCTGCATCACAACAATGGCAACAGCGGACGAAAGCGAAGCGGCTAGCCACCGTAAAGAGTTGAACTTTTCTTCGTCGGGTATTAGGCTGAAGAGTTTCGTGATGCAGATGCCGACCAGAGCACTCAAAAAATGGCCACCGATTAGAGCGCGTGGCTGTGCTAAAGGGGCCTCGATAGCACCATAGACGAGGACGGCTGATGCTCCCTACTTCATAATCAGTAATTAAGAAGGGTGTGTAGAAAGAGGGAGACATACATAAGAAGCAATGATGCCTGGCACGCCACGTTTAATGAAATAGGAAGAGTAATTAAATATAGCCTGTACCACACATAAACCACAGAATGCGGCTATGAATGACCAGAGGTAAACGAGATATCGCGAGGGAGGCTTTGGTGCAGTCTCACGATAGCCCAGCCAGTGGCTGATGGACCGAGGGAGGCGAGCCAGGAACTCTTTCTCGGAGATCATTGTTAGCCTCAGCGGAATGAGAACGATAAAGGATCAGATTATAGGATTAAGGTAAAACGTAGAGCTGTAAAAGGATTCAAATAGAAATGAGCAAATGGTCATGTGATGTACATTTGTTTGTCCGAAGGAAGATTATAGGGACCATGGGATCATCGGAGAGACTCGATCCGGAGACCGGGAAACTCCTAGGGCTAGGGATCTGATTAAGTGGCCGGGGTTTGAAATCAAATACCTCTTTCCTTTCCCGAAGCCCGTCAAGAAGCCCGTCAAAGTACATGCGAAGTGACGGAGATTCCATTTCTGGAGAAATCGGACAACGGCCCCCGACTAATGCGTGACCCCTGAACTGAATTCCGCAGGTTAAATCCCAAATCTGACAGGATATCCTGAAATCCTTTGACCTGTTCTTTACCAATCACAGCTTGCTTTTTTTGAGGCGGATTCTTAGCGCCTTGGCGTGAAGGTAATCCATCAGTATTCTTGATCTATATCTTCGCTCGAAAGTGAGTATGTGGGAAGGAAATTAGGCCTTATGCAGATCACTGGCCGGCTGTAATGCAATGTGCTACACGGCTGGAGCGGAACGTTCATGTCCAATCCGCCTCACTGATGTATCTATAAGAACCTGCGTGTGTACTTTGCCTTGTTCACTCAAAGCATCCTTGGAAAGCTTCACGCTTTCTTTTGAACACCATCCGTCAAGGCTAGGTCGCTGTCCGCAATAGTATGCCTCTCTTACGGGATCCCGATATCCGTGAACATGCACGCAGTTAGTACGATTATGCCCTTGAATCCGCATTGACAGATTAAGATAGTAATTGGATTTGATCCATATGACTCGCACCGCTGGGAATAAACACGGGTTCCTTATTCTGCGAGGCAGTAAGCACATCGGCCGTGTGAGGCAGGCGCTGAAGCTAGAAAGAAGCCAGAGAACATCTCGGTTGATTGTTCGCATCGTAACTGGGAGAAAAACTATCGAAACCAAGCAGTTTTCGCTACAAATGTGGCTGGTCAGATTGCAAGTGGAAAGACGGCTGAAATCGTTGTTTCGATGATCGAGAGCAGCCTCAATGAGGGCAATCAAAAGGTGCCAATAAAAAGGTGCTTCCGCAAAGGGCCATTTGGTTTCAACCTGCAGTCAGTATCACGATGCCCAAGCTGACGGTGTTCTCTTAATGCGTTGTTGATCCTTGATACTTCGTGGTTGTCGTGTGGGAAGGGATGGTGAGCAGATACAGAAAATTCACATTTTTCGGCGCCTAAGGTATAACCGGACCAGCGTTGGGTTGTAGTTGATTGCCGAAAGGCGAAATATATTACCTAGGTAGAACAATTTTAACAAGGGATATCAAAGGAGGTGTTGACTGAAATCAATTTTTTATCTCCGACCTTAGAATCAACTGGTGAGATGTCCTAAATGTCCGTCGGGAATGACGTCACCCAGGCAATGTCCATCACAATTGGCGACTCGATAGTAAAGGCGTATGAAGAACTACCCAAGCAAAGAGAGATTTTTATGCAAAATTTCCATGTTGTTTATTGGGTCGAAGGCAACGCTTGTAAGTTGCCCCTGTTCCGGTGTGGCATGCAATAGCCTATCAACGGATAGGCTATAGCCTACCCCGGAAATCCTTCACAGTGACGTCGGGCATCTCCTAGGCTACGCGGAATGAACTGTGCGAGGCGAGGTGACACAGAAGTGTGCTTCCTGGTATCCAACTGGACTCCTATATAAACCCCAAAGGAATCCTGCGAATCTTCATCACAGCCAGACAAATCCTCTTTCCGAACATTCCGTGCAAAACAAAACACATTCCGATATGCAGGAACCAACCTACGACTCCAGGTAAGTACAGTATCAAACCATTTTGGCGATTGGAAGTTAATGAGTCACACAGTCGTCCGATGCCCTCGATCGAGATTGCCTACTCGTACAAGCTAGTCGGCATCCCGAATAAGACTATCGTCAGCCTGCGCGTCGAATTCCCACCCAACGGATCGACTCCCCCGCATCGTCACGGAGGCGCGAACGTCGGTGTTCATGTCCTAAAAGGAACCGTCCTCAATAAAATGAATGACCAGCCTATGAAGACCATCGAAGAGGGCGGAAGCTGGTTTGAAGCACCGGGCTGTCATCATCGCATCAGTGATAATGCTAGCAAGACTGAGCCGGCAACGCTCATTGCTACCCTGGTCACGGATACTGAAGCATTTGAGAGAGATGGAATGGGGGCCCTTATCCAGATTGACGAGGAGTACCGGAAATGAGAATCGCTGAGGACTTAAAAGATTAATAGCATACTCTGCGTCTCAAAGTATGCATGTAACCACATACTCAGCGATTCGGAATCTGTAGGGATGCTAGTATTAAAGGGTAGTGCCCAGTGGAATCTATTGTAACATAAATGAACTTGTTTCGGTTAGACCAGGAGCATCCGCATCAAAATATGCACAAAAGTCAAAATTGGAGTTGGGTAACATGTCCAATTCCGGGAATGCAGGCGATGTTGGATCTAGGGACAGTTCAACGGCACCCAAACTAGTCGGAGGGTCCTTTGAGAGAGATAACAATTCTCGGGCGACAATTCCAATTTCACGGTAGGTCCGTTTGCCCAGGGTCCAGTGCTCACTTAGACGCTTCAAAGTACCCATTGTCAAACGAATCTTCTCCCGACCTTTAGCTCGCTGATCGCCCGAAAAAATAAACCTGCAAGCCGATAGATGTGCAATGGTCACATTGGCAATCATGCAAATGATGAACGGAGAATGGGTCTTCAGATTAGTTGGCAGAGTCAATAGTTCATCAATGCTATTGATAGCCTGAGTGCATTTGACAGTATGAAGGTCACGTTCTTTTCCGTTGTTGCACTTTAGTTGTTCAGACGGAGCCAATGGAGCACAACGCGATACCGATTCAATTGCACTGTGAGTCAACGCTGACAGCGGCCGATGGATTTCAACAGTGTATCTAGACTTCGGTCAAAAAGTAGACAGCCAAGAAAGTTGTAGATCTTACGTGTGCATAATGAAGAATGCTTTGAACATGACCTCATCAAATGATCCATTGGGACGTATTAATTCCCTCTTTTCCGGAGAAAGAAGAGAGCACCATGCTCGAACAGTAGTGTCAGAGCTAGCAGCCATAGTGGTATATATTCGATCATCTGCCGTGTTGCCAGGAGACAAGGCCCGATCAATCCCGCGGGTCAATCCAATAAGCTCCGCGTACGAGGAAAAATTAGTTTCATCTTCGCTAAGGAACTCCCTATTGTCGTAATCTTCTAGGGATCGTGAGGGTGGGATAGCCTAATAAGAAAGTCAGCTCGAGACTACTATAGGAACAAAGTGATTGTCATACCCCTCTTTCGTACTGTTCTTCCTCACAAGGAAGGTCGGTGGTGATTTCAATGCCACTTGTTCGGAATGGATACGTGTGGGTAGATCCTGCGGTCATCAGAAATGCAACTTGGGCAATAATTATATCTAGGAGGCATACCGGCGATGTGGGCATCGGTGATATAGATTACCCACCAAGTGCGGCGCCAACTTTCCTCAAGTATGGAATCGGCTTCCGCGTAGTTTTGGGCGAATTCCTTCTTGTTCATTCCAAGGGCTACTCCTATGCGAATTGCTTCGCCAAGGAGCCCAACGCCACTTTCCGTTTCATTGCACCAGTAGACAGCGATAGAATAAAGTAGAAGAGCTTGAATATCAAATGGCGTAAGAGGCCGGGGTGATGACCGAATTTCGGCCACTGAGTCCTCAGCACGTTTGGCCCAAGATTTTGACAACTTAGGTGGACAGGAAATATCAAAAATAGATCCAATATAACACATGACTTGAAGGAGAGGCTGAATTTCCGGTTCATTCAGACGAGTCTTAAGAACCTGGAAAGGCAAGGCGCAAGGGTGAGCTGCATGAAAGAACTCGTAATACAAACTCAGAAATGAGGATGCTGAGTTGGAAGATGGTTCAATCTCCCCGTTGTTAACAGCGGACGAGGATGAAGAGATAGTGGAAGTCTGCAGTGATGGGTCATCCTGGTTCTCATGGACAGTTTTGACAGGCGACAGTGCGGGGTTCCCCGGTTTTGGATTTCCACGTCGGCGCGAGGGAGGATAAATGCATTGTACTGTATTTGCAGCGCAGCGTGAACAGACAGGCTTGCGGCCATCGCAGCGAAGGTGTTTGTAGCGACATTGCGCACACGAAAGAGAATTCCGTGTTCCACGCTTGGCGGGTTTCACTGTTCCTGAAGTATCCGACATAGCGTTGGGGAATATGACAGGGAGAATCTAGCGAGAAAGGAAACAAGAGTCACATTCCGTGGACTGCCCCCCATGCGCGCCTGCCGTCGGATTAGTCATGCAGTACCGGGCCCGCCCGTACCCTGTCTCTCCAGGGCTGCAAGGGCCCCGGGTGTGTCGATCTGGCGGGGATTTGTAGTCCACGAGCACACAAGGTTCCAAGCATTCTAATTAGAATGAAAGTCACGTATTTACTCAATTTCACTTTTTTTGTGCACTTGACGAGACGAGTTGTCCAATTATGTTCAAAAGTGAAGAAGTTCAAGAAGTTCCCTTTCAAGAGGAATAGGCAATCAGAGGTTTTGAACCTAAGACTACGATGGATAGCTGAGATAGCTAGCTGTTCTTGACGGAGATCAGGAGATGCATCATGTAGGTGATGTCAGATTTAGCAGCTGACCGTGATAATGGACGAATATTTAAGACATGATCAGTAGGGCTTTAATCTGAATGTAAATTTGATCCTTAAAGGCTGACTAAAATGTTGCCTCCAGCTAGTAGTAAGACAGGATAATGAGCTCTGGTAACGCAAATGGTGTTTTAGATATCTCACTGCAGATTGTTTGGTTCCGCCTTATTCGGGAAACAATCATGCTTTCACAGTCGGATGAATGGCTTCTGTTTTACTCGTGAGAGTTACATCGCTATGCCAGCCTTTGAATGCGCGAGTCCGTAATCTCAGTGAGAACATGCGATCGATCTCCATTGCCGTCCGTCCTTTCATCTCTGGGATACCCAGCCACACGACAATGACTGCAACTGCGGCGAACCCTGCCATCACGAACCCTGTTTTTGCCTTTAGATTTCCCTGGTCTGCGTTATAGATATATGGCAAGATGATGGCGAAAACTGCAGTACCAAAGCCACTAGTAAACCACCCAATGCCTTGGGTCTTGGCTCGGAGTTGTAGTGAAGACGCTTCGGCAGCCACCACATGAGACGCAGGCCACGACCCAAGACCAGAGACCATGGTGATAATCATCATGCTCACTGCCGTATACCTAGTACAGAGTTAGCTCCTCATCCTCGACATCTGATATGGTATCTTACCAAATCGTCACGATTCCGGTGAAGATCCCTGCTATTCCTACTGCGAACCACATTACCATAACAATATTCAAAGTGAGTAGAATGAGAAATCTTCTCCCAAAGGCATTCAGTGCCCACAGACTGACAACATTCGCGATCAGGCCCAGTCCAATGCCCAAAATCAAGAAAATCAAGCTATTAGCTGAGCCCATACCCACGATCTGCATAAAGTAGGAGGAATTTGCCAGCAGCTGCAGTCCGAACATCTGAGGTATAATGCTTGCAAAAGCGACAATAAAAGTTCGACGCATGTTGACTCCTCTGAAACAATCGGCATATGTATGGGTTGCACTCTCCTCGTCCTCTGCTGCAATTGACGCCTGTAACTCGTCGATCACAGCTTGCGAGTTGATACGGGGCGTATTAAGCTTTTTCTGTGCCTTGAGAGCGTCGTTCGTTCGACCCCTTCTCAACAGCCAGGTCGGACTCTCTGGTAAAAACGCCGCTAGAACAAATGGAATAGATGAGAATGGCCATTGCGACGCAAAGCAGATCCGATATGACTCGACACCTGTATGCTTAAGCGAAGTATAAACCACGATCGACCCAACTAGTTGTCCAAGAAGCGTGAAGATCGGATAGAATGCAATGATCGGACCTCGAAGAGCAACAGGAAGCACCTCGGACATGTATGTCTGCGTGACACACAGCAGAATGCCAATACAAATTCCTTGGAATAGTTTACCCGCGAAGAATACTCCTCGACGAGTTTCCATATCGTCTGGCAGATCCGAGATGTAGCATATTGCGACCGCAATGGTGGATAGGAAACTGCCTATAGCGAGCGTAATCCGACGTCCACGGCGATCTTGATATTGACCACCGAGGACAGAGCCCAACATTATGCCGATGCAACTGGAGACGTTCCAGAGAGAAAGCCACATGGTGGGGATGATGTATTTTCCATTGTATTCCTGGCCGAAAACAACTCTGTTGCGTGTCAGCAGCGGCACATTCTATCATTTTGGGGATATATTCACTGGAACTGGGGCATCGCAGCCACTGTTGCCACGATGACTAAATCATATCCGTAGAGAAGAATTGCCGAGCTTAGCGCGAGGCAATATCCCACGATTCTGGGGAATTTCTTAATCGATTGCCACAGTGGCACGTGTGTCATGCTTTTGGTTGTGTCAACGGCATCAACGGTATCCTCATTGAACTTTTTGGTGGATTGTGTCTCTGTGAGGTTCATAATGAATTTGGAGACCCCGTGGGTGCTTTGGGTGGTTACAAGTGGGAATGACAAGGGGGATTTCTTTGTCTTAAATCTGTACACGAAGGGCCCCTACAGAATGTTAGAACAAAGAAACCCGTATAGTAACCTCAAAAAGGGGGGGGGATGGGGGAGCACTGAGCTATATTAAGTTAAAAATCCATCCATAGCGCATGCAATAAAACCGACGGAACAACGTCCTCGAATCGAATATCTTGTTTTTGGGAATTTCTAAGCACCGACCGCATAGTGTCACAAATAACAAGGATGTTTGGATAGTTTCTTGGTCCTATTTGTGTATGAGGCGTTGCCCCCGCACCGCCAAGTGATCGTCTCTGAAAGGAAGACCATCGCTTCGACACAACTGGGGTAATCCCCAGTCTTCCCGCTATAGTATGATCATGTGCCTAACCCCCGTGTTCAGCAGATATACAGCCACAATATAGATTTCCATTAGGGCTTTGCGCTCCCCGTTGTCTCGGCTTGCAGTTAGGGAAGCTGATACCGTTAAGAGAAGATTGATGCTGCATGGAACGGGACTCGATCTTGATCCAAAAGGTATGTCTAGTGAATGCGTTGGAAAAGGAAAGGTCAAAGTAGGCGAGTATGGTGCCAACTCGCGAGACTGGATACTTTATTCCTGGGCCAGTTGCTTCAATTTTAGATTTATATTGCGGAGTCCTGCCTCTTGGAGATCAATGAGGAATGCGCACTGGGGGTTTAGAGTGGAGGCTGAACAGACTGGTTGAAGGGAAGTGTTGGGAAGAGGCCGAGACATGCATATCCTTTATCTCGATGCGTCCAGTTCAAGCAGCCGATAATTAGGGCTGCTTGCCCCAGCCTGGTCTGGATATGCGGGCCACCACAGAATACCACAGGCAATCTCCGTTGACCGCTGTGATACAGAAGCTCCCCCAATTACCTGTGCCTCGCATCAATATTGTCAGTCTGAAACAAATATAAGGTAGGTCAGCTACACGTATAAAATAAACAAATGAGTCCATCGAATCTACATTGGTAGATGACCTGGCAATCAATTATCTGGATGTATTCGTCGTTGTGAGTGACCGCCTCTATTGCAACTTATTTGAGAGGAAATTCCCCAAAGGAAATTTGTGAGAATTCATTATGTGAATCATTTGCTTTTTGTCGTCTAGCTTTCCTTTGTCTGACCTGTCACAGTTCCGAGTTCAATCGAGTCGGACCCCGATCGTGCGTCCTTCATTTTCTCCAAGTCCCCCAGATGTTGCTTAAATGCAGCAATCTCACGCTCCAGCTCAATCGACGAAGCAAGTGATATTTGAGCTTTGAAATTGCAGCTGAAATCACAAGCAGTGTTTGAGACGTAGGGTATGCCCACTGACCAACCTTGCTCGGACTTGTCATTATATATTTGGATGTCGATCCAAATGACAAAGGCAATGATGGTGAAGATTCTGACCATCATGCTGAACATCATTCCGAAAGAATCGCAGCGTCAACAATCACATGGATAAATGACATGAGGAACTGACAGCTGAGTATATGTCGCACTCGGCGCTGGAAAGTGGCATTCTTGTTTGTCGAACTTGGTTCTTTCTTGTCGTAATTTATGTTGCTTGGTAGCTTCATGGCACCACTGGTCTCGTCTTTGAAGCTTTTCTACATTGTATTACGCTATTTCCAGATTACCATACTCTGCACTGATGGGATCCGTGATTGATAAGGTAGGAATCGGTAAGGCAAGTGGAGGGGATTTAGGACCAGACAGAGAATGGTGAGGCTGTAGATATATCGATGCAGATATAGATGTCTGAATGCAATGAGCCTGGTTGTCGTAGAATTTATGTTGTATTAAAACAAGGGTTGAAGCAGAAATCTCCTAGTTAATTCCATTGCGATACGTTCGAAAATGTATCCTACACACTGTCATTCTGTGTGGATTTTCTCCATGAGGCCTGTCAGCCGTCATTTGATGTGTCGTCGGAAAGGCACGAGATCAGGAAAGCAAAATATGTACTGAGGTGATGTCTTGGCTATTTTTGCAGCATAGAAAAGGGCACATATAGAGCCAGCCAACATGAGGGCATGTCATAGACAAAAGAGAAGGTTCCGTGCTCGACCGTGGGTCAGAAAAACGAGATAACCAGTGACAACGACGGCAAGAACGGCATCCGAGTCAAGCTCAAGTGATGCGGGCGATACCATAACATGATCTGTCTCGGTGACTAATAAGGGAATTCTTTCGTAGGCTGGAGTTGGCGGCCAGATATGAGTTAGCGACAGGTCCAGGGTCTTGGGGCGTTTGGTGACTGGAAACCATGATAAAGGCGTGGATTGCCACAGTTCCCAAGAATATGTTCATGCCTCATCCATTCCATCGAGCGACAGGTTGCCCGCATAAGCGCATAGAAGAGATACCGTGGACATGTGTTGTAGATTGTATGGCAATATCACGTCAGTCAACATATATTCCGGAAAATGTTGGTTCTTCTAGATGGAGTAAAAGTAGTTCTGCTAGCTGTTCAATCTATGCCGTGGCATATAATAGTCATTCGATGTGCGCTAAAATTATCACGTCCCTCCAATAACATATATCCATTCAAATCAATTACCAGTTCCGAACCCCGTGTACCAGTACCCCAATTAGAAACATGACCACGACCAATACAATCCCTCATCGCTTCCTGTCATTGATCTCATCCACAATAAACATCACGAGTCTCGCAATGGGACCACCCCGACGCTTTGGCCTTTGGGCTCGTACCTTTTCTGCCGATTGTCCCATTAAATGGCCACTCTCCAGCTCCATTGCATTTTCATATCTGGTGGAGACACTGGGCTGCTGGGTATACTCTGCGGAAGGTCGAACTTGAAGTGTCAGGCCGATACCCAAGCATACGAGAACAACGACAAACTCTTCTAGGATAGACATCACAAGCTGGATTGTGATATTTCCTGACACCGAATTGAACTCAGCCTTGTGGCCAAATGCGTAGATGAAAGAGTACATTAATCGCACGAGGATCAAGGGGAGAGAGACTGCGACAGCCAGGAGGAGGCGATGTTCTCCATCCTCGATACTGTGAGTTCGTTTCGCAACCAGGAGGAGGAGTCCGCATACACCGATCCAAGCAATAAGGTAGAAAATGAGTCCGACTTTTGTCTTCATGTTGACAAGGCCATGGGTAATATTGGGGTTCGAGGTGGCGCCGAGGATGCTTAGAATCACAGCAACTAGTGAAAACAGTCCAACAATCCGGAAGATCATCGGAGGGAGAGCGTTGTCGGTCTTTCGCTTAATAGAATCATTCCTGATAAATGTCGTTAGCTGCGAATCATCGAGTCAATCACGAATAAAGATGTTGCTTACGCTCGTGATAACAGTCCAATGCAAGCCAAGATTAACGGCGACAGCCCGAGTGAAGTACAAACAGCCCAGGCAATGTATAGATCGACGCTGGAAGGAAATTGAATCGTGGCCAAATGGCATGCTGAGCCAACAATGCGGGCAAGACAGAAGATGACGAAAAAGAACCAGCCCGAGCTTTTTTTGAAACCATGGTGGAATGCCATCCAGAGGGCGAGGAAGAGGGTTGGAGAGTAAACAGCGATCTCTAGGATCGAGATCCCATGCCGATAGTCGATAGCCATAATTGCAAATGAGAATCAAGAGTACTGAAATCAAGAAAGCAGAAAACAGAACACAGAAAATAGACTGATGCTTTTATTACCCTCGATTCATGGGATCTCTGCTATTTAACTCTTTCGATGCCATTTCAGCTCGCGATGCCTTCCTATTCAACTCCAAAAGGCAGTGCAATACCAATCTCAGAGCCACGCACCCTGGGAGTATAAGCGTTGTGGATACTCCACTTCAAGATGTGGTCAGCCAATCGCATCTTCTCAAGCACATACTGCATACCTGATTAGGCTTAGTGCATTGGGCTGCTACCCAAACGGGTATGGAAGTCGGTCAGGCTAAGCCTCTCTGAACTCCACAAACGCTTGGAATGCTAACAATCTGGCAATCTGACTGTATCCCATCTCAGCCGCAGAGATCTCGTAAAAGCATCTGCCGAGTTTGATGCTCCACTTTCTTCGCTCTCATAGGGGGACTTCTGATCAGGCGTCCTTGCGCTGTGACTCGTCATCTAGACCTTTCGCTATAGTCACCACTGTCGAGATCGTAGGGGCGATATTCTAACTAGTTAACTATTCCGGTTAGTTAGATAGTTAGCTAGTTGTATCAGCAGCTAGATCCTGTTCTCTCTCGCTCTCATTTCTCTTTCTCCGTCCTGTCAATCTTATTCCGTACATAGTGATGTACAACACAGCTGTTTCTTCTTAGAGATGTCTCTTGTGTACTAATCGCTAGGGAAACCTTTAGCGTGAGAAGATTCTAGCATTGCGGCCAGCTTCATGGTGCTCTCAGATTTCTCAGCTGCTCTCGCCCTTGATTAAGATCGAGAATAATGTCGGGTTGGGATGTGACGTGGGATATTCTCCCCCGTTGTGAGGAGTGAAATAGTTGAGCAGACTGCCTAGATCCACGGGTGTGGGCCTCCAAAATGCTGAGATAGTATAGCACTCTTTGCTCAACAGGCGAGTAGGACTGGGTAAAAGCACCCGCTCAACATCTACCCACACGGCAAGCTTGTATCTTGGGTCTGGAAGGTAAGACATCAAGGGGACAAACAATATCATTGTCAACAATTTTTGAGTTGCCAAATGTTTGGCCAATCAAGTAGTTCGCTGTCTTAAATTCCATCATCTGCAAACCGAAAAAACGTCGACACCGGGGACACAGGACACTCCATGAAAAAAACCAAGGGCGCTGCAGGACATGCTCTGTGTTTGATATCCTTCATGTCCTAGCTTCGTTGCTCCAGACTCTATAATATATATTACTACCAGGGCGACATGTGCAAAGAACGCCCCCAAGATCAGCCAGCATCTTTGGCTCGATGATAGATTCCCGACTTGTTGCATAAAGTTGAACTCAGTTTGCATAGGCCTAGGTCGGCATTGAAGTTCTAGGATTCTAGCGTTGTTTAGTGTGATTTGCACAATTTTCTTCACCAAACTAGCCACCCGTGTGTTGAGCACCGGCCCTGTTTCCCGTGAAGGATTTCCCCTCTTCCCGGCGAAACGGCAGAATGACAGTTGATCGACATCCCAGAAAGATTAAGATCGCCGCTTTGTCCTTTTTAGCTTCATCGCGTTTCTACCGTTCGTCGTATTCGCGTCGTATTAATATTTCGACGCTGCTTTGCACGTAGATCACCACGCAGAGAAATATATAAATACATGTGCGCTCCATTTCTTAGTTCATGTGTCTGCTTATTGTGAGAGCTATCGACTCAATTGCTCTTCCTCTTCACAGTTTTGTCACGGTTTAGCATACCAAGCATGCTATCGTTTGCCTTGGCCCTAGTTGGCATTTTGGGGCCTGTTGGTTCTTTGGCAACTGATTCCGGTCCAGCAGCTTGTTCCAATATAACATCGCAACTGGGATCGTCCAAAGTCATTACGAACAAGCTCAGCTTGAAATATATCACTAGCACTGAGTACTGGAGCACGCCCCAGGATGCCTACAAACCGTCTTGTGTCGTATATCCTTCATCCTCTGAGGATGTCTCCGTGGCTCTTCAGGCCATCCGAGCAGCTGGCAGCCGGTTTGCAGTCAAAGGAGGAGGACATAATCCTAACAAGTTCTTTTCGTCGACCGACAAAGGTGTGCTCATTAACTTGAGCAGCCTCTCAGCAAAGTCGTACGATCCAGACACCACACTGGCTACATACGGGCCAGGTGGTGTGTTTGGTGACATATACGACTACTTCGCGGACTATAACCGCACGGTGGTTGGAGCCCGACTCTCCGGTGTGGGAACCGGTCTTGCTCTGGGTGGTGGCATGAGCTATCTCTCTCCCCAATATGGGATGGCCTGTGATTCATTCAGGGAGCTGGAAATTGTTCTTCCTGATGGTCAAATCGTGACAGCATCCAACACTTCCAACTCGGACCTGTTCTTTGCCTCGCGTGGCGGCGGAGGCAATGCCTATGGTGTTGTAACCAAGTATACGGTCCAGAGTCGCCCTATTGGTCAATTCTTCGCGGGAAATCTCATCTACGCCTTTCCCCAAAAGGATACCGTCGTTGAAGCAATTAGCAATTTCATTCAATACAACACCGACCCCAAAGCCAGCATTATCGGCACTTACGAGAAGCTGCCCACCCCCGATGTGAATCTGAACCTGGACGAGGTCATTGTCATGTTCCTAGTCTACGACGGCCCTGACGCAGGTGATGCATTCTCGAACTTCACGAGCATTCCACATCTCCTCGACACTACTAGCCTCAAGTCCTACCCCGATGTAGCCAACATGCCACTTCCAATCGCCAGCGAGATTTCACGCGGGAACAATATCTTCCGTGTTGGAGTCCACCGTGCCGATAACGATGAGTGTAAGAACGCCCTGGATGTGTGGCGCAACTGGGGTGAGTCGAACAAAGGCAAATACCTGCTCCTTTCGCTCGATTTCCAGCCTGTCCCGAAAAGCTTGACGGACGCCAGCAAGGCACAGGGTGGAAATGCAATGGATATGCCCGACGGTCCATGGTTCTGGTTGAACTATTTGATTACAACGCTGCCGGGAATGAGCCAGCCAGACTATGATGCCATACAGTCCAGCTTCCGTGATATGGTTGCGTCGACAACCAATGCCGAAGGTCTTCCGTTGTTCATCAATGATGCAAACTATGACCAACATCCTCTGTCGACCTTCTCCACGTATGGGAAGTTGCAAGAGATTAAAAAGAAGTATGATCCAGATAACTTCTTTGCTGACCAGACGGGGGGTTGGTCATTTGACTAGAGGCAATTGACTCGACAACCTTCCAGTTACTGTTAATTTCATTTGGTGCTTTATGGGTACGTTACTTCGACTTTGAAAATACTTGTATATAGCCACCGTACTATATTCCAAGAGGACAATGCTTAATATTGGATCTCCAAGTAATCCAATTGTATATCTAGCTCGTCTAATCTCTCTTGCCTCTACCGATATACTCTTTGGAAGTCTTCCAGATACCCCTCGCACCGATCGCAATATCTTGTCGTCCGTCATAAAGTGGGAAAATCACAACCGCCCCAAAGGCAGCGAATTGCCAGATGATAGCGACAACCACCCATCCCGCGAAGAATGATCTCGTGAAGATATAGTCGCGGTACAGTGGAAGAGGCCAAGCAACAAACGTGATCAGCACGATCGCCCCGAACATGTACCAAGCAATCTTGAGCCATCTGTACAGCTCTTTCAGTGTTGCGTCGTCGAATGGGTGCTGAATATCATCAAGGCTAATCCCCACGGAAGTTTGCAACGAAGCTGTCGTTATGGGATTCTTCTCACTTATGTCGCCAATCTGCTCTGTGTCGTTGTTGATGCTTTCTGGTTGGCCATAAACAACCGGTTTGACAGAACCATTAACATGTTTCGAATCACCTGTTTGGTCCTCCTCGCTGCTCTCATTCAAGGTGCTCGTGTCCGAGGGCGATTGAATTTGTGATTGGTCTGCGAGTTCAATGCGAAGGAACACCCTCCAGTCGAACTTATAAGGCTTGTAGAGTGAGAGGACAACCGAATAGAGTGCTGGTGTGAAGAAAGAAGCGATGGCTGCATATAGTGCCGGGTAGGGATTTGTAGTGGTCGTGATGTTGATATTGCCATACATATATTTGGTTGTCGCCAACCAGACAGCGAGACCTGAAACGAAGCCAAGCACAGGAGAGACAATCGCAGCTATCCGGGTCTGTCGTGACCAGAACAAAGTGAGAATCATAGGGATGATTCCCGGGCATGAGATAATGGGTCTCAGGTACCCGATCCATGTCATGTTTGCTCCTCCGTAGTTGAGAGCGATGGAAATTCCGGTGATAAAGACACCATGGATGACCACGGTCAAGTGGCTCACTCCTACAATTTGTTTGTCGGTAGCTTTAGGGTTGAGATATGTCTTGTAGATGTCATAAGACAAGATACTGCTGACAGCAATCATTGAGGAGGAAACGGTACTCGTCAAAGCCATGAATAAAAGGAAGAAGAATCCAATGATTCCCTTGTCTCCGATGAGCGCTTTGATGGTGTATGGCATCACCATACCTGAGCTGACCTCAGTGGCAGTAAGCAGACCAGGGTAGGTCGGAAAGATTGGTGTATCGTGAATTGCCCTCGTTGCCAAACCGACAACTGTGCCTAGACCCCAAGGGATACCGAAAACAGCCAATGCAGCGATATTGTACCCTGGTACTGTTGCCTTGACCTCGGTTGCGAAGGACTTTTGCCAAAATGCGGTGTCCTAGCAATGAGATGTTAGCTTTGTAAAAATATCAAGTTTTACGACTCTCAATGATCGTTCTGCAAGACCGCCCAAAAGTCGATTTATGGAATTGACCTACCATAACAACAAGTGCCAGGTTTCCAAACTTGAGAATCAACCCCCAAATAATCGCATCCTTGGACTTGAATGTAAGAAGTGAACCTTCATAGTTGCCGGGAATGTAATTATCCGCAGCTGTAGCAATAACTTTATCATACAAACCACCGAGTCCACCGACCGCCGAGTTTGTCAAAACAGCAATGGTGAAATAGATGATGAGAATGAGGGCAATCGCCGTGTGCAAGAAGTCCGTCAGGAATGTAGCCTTCAAGCCACCCACGGCTGTATAGAGGACAACTATAAAGAAGTTAGCTTCTGTTTCCCGGCACATTTTTATAAGATATAGTAAACAAACCTCCCAGGGGCACGAGGATAGTTGCTGCTACATAGTGCATGCCAGAAACACCATGAATGAGCTGAGAACCCGTCATAATCATCGAAGCGCAACCGAAGACGTTGTTGACGAGGTTGAGCACGATAAACACGAGATGTCCGATCTTGCCATAGCGCATCCGAACAACTTCCAACGACGTATGGGCATAAGGGACTCGAATCTTGGCCATAACGCCAAGTGCTGCCATCAGTGCAATTTGGAAGCATAGACCAGATCCCCACCACTATAATCTGTCAGTCGTGCAGCGTCATTTAAGAGCACAAGAGAAGACATACTAGAGGCACTGCAAGGCCGTACCTATATGTCATAGCCGCACACAATACTGTCTCGTTGATCCACATCCAGGAGCTGAATACTGCGGATGCACACAATCCCCTCCCTACAGAGCGATTGGCGACCATGAACATCTCCGACTTTCCAGAATCTTCAGCAAGATACGCTTTCTGTACCTTGACGGCAATCAAAATAACACCACAGAACAGAACGCTGAGACCAATGAGAAGGCCATAGGCCGCCCCCTGGGGGATCAAAGCCAACTTAGACGTATCTATCGTGTTAGACATGTCTGGGCAAAGTAAAGCCAAGTTCCAAGGCGCAGGGCCGAGAATATTTATTGTCTGCAGGGTCCATCATATCTTTAATGCCAAGCCTGGGTTCTGTAGATCTGCAGCCAATTGACGTTCCCTGAAGGATTGCGTAACAATCAGAGTTGCCATGTGGACGATATATCTCACGTCGTCCATGTCCGCAATTGCGTTATGGGAAATGAATAAGAGAGACGCGACCAAGGAGTCCAAACACAAGACCATTGGAAGATAGAAACAACGCTAACAAGGCCAACATGTGGTAGTTGCGGAATCTGTGAGTTGTGACGGGGATTGTGGTTGGGATTGCGTGCCTTGAATCCCAGATGGCGATAAAACGAGTTGGAATCACGAACGACAGGGGTCACTGCGTACTCCACACAGGAGTCTAATGTGTCGGCCGATATGGAATTCTAAATATTCATAGCAAATGTCGAATATCAATTACCAATGGGAACTGTGATCCTGCGATGGTGACAGCGCTTGGCGCGTCCGCTATGTATATGTATACAAAGCGGTTCCCATTGTTCGCGACTCAATACTTAGACCTTACTGCCATTTGGAATTTACTGCAGATCCAAAGTAATTCAGCTCAAATGGGTGAAGCCACACCAAGATCCGGCAAAAAGCAGATCATCCTCAATGCTTTTGTCATGAATACCCCGGGCCATTTGGCACCCGGGCTATGGAAGCACCCTAGAAACAAGACCGACCAGTACAAAACCCTCTCTTTCTGGACCGATCTAGCTCAGTTACTCGACAAAGCCGGTTTTCATGCGATGTTCCTTGCGGACACCCTAGGGGCGTACGATGTGTACAAGGGCCCTAGTAATGTTGTTCCCGCGTTGGCATCAGGCGCGCAATTTCCTGTCAACGACCCATTGTACCTCGTTCCTGCCATGTCTGCTGTCACAAAGAACCTTATTTTTGGAGTAACCGCCAGCGTGACATACGAGAAACCGTACGCGCTCGCACGCCGACTCTCTACTGTGGACCATCTCAGTCAGGGCCGTCTGGCATGGAATATTGTCACTTCATATCTGGACAGCGCAGCCCGAAACCACGGGTTGAACGAGCAGATTCCCCATGACGAGCGATACGCAATAGCAGATGAATATCTCGAGGTGCTCTACAAACTCTGGGAAGGAAGTTTCCGAGACGACGCCGTGCTCGCCGACCGACAGCTCGGAACATACATTGCTGCCGATGGTGTGCGAGAGATAAACCACAAGAAGAAATACTTTGATGTCCCCGGGCCTCATTTCTGCGAGCCATCGCCACAGCGTACGCCATTCCTGTTCCAAGCCGGCGTCTCCGAGGCCGGTGGTCAATTCGGCGGAAAGCACGGCGAGGCAATCTTCATCGGTGGTCAGACCCCCGAGGGTACTCGCTTGACAGTGGATAATATACGGAATATTGCCAAACAACATGGCCGTGATCCCAATCATATCAAAGTCATCGTGGGTATCAACGTGATTGTCGCAGCGACAGATGAAGAAGCAAAGGCAAAGCGGGAGGATTATCTCCAATACGCTGATGATGAAGGTGCACTAGCTTTGTTCGGTGGATGGACCGGAATTGACCTATCGAGTCATGCTGACGATGAGGATTTCCGGTTCAGCGACTCTCCGCGGGTCCAGTCCATTGTTCGGAGATGGTCTGCTACCGTGCCAGGCACGGATAGCTTGCCATGGACCAAGCGAAGGATCGTGGAGTACATCAGTGTAGGTGGACTGCAGGCTAAAGTTGTTGGTAGTCCCTCAACAGTTGCAGATGAATTGGAAAGATGGGTGGAGATATCCGACGTGGATGGTTTCAATCTTGCCCATATTGTGAATCCTGGGACTTTCGAAGATATCATTGAGTTCTTATTGCCTGAACTGCGACGAAGGGGGTGTGTTCCGAGAGGAAATTGAGAAAATAGGTGCCACGGCTCGCGAAGTATTTATTGGATCGCAGCGTTTGCCAGAAGATCATCCTGGAAGCAAGTACAAGTGGCGGGCAGGGGAAACTATTCCTCAGTATCAGATTAAGGAGAACTAGATATAGCCATTCTTGTCCGCCTACACGCATGTGCAAGGTATCCGATCAATACATCCATATAAAACGGGAGATAAGCTCAATTAATAATTACGTCCAGGATCATGCAGGTAGACTTCCTGAAGGGGCCCCGGGGCATTACAAATCACTCAAATATAAACCTCAGAATATTGATCTGATCTGCTTGAATTCCATTATCAAGTACCAAATTTCAAAATGAAAGAAGCCATTATCGACAAGACCGTTTCGGTCATCATCCACGATGTTGAAATCCCCACCCCCAAACCCAGCCAGGTGCTCATTCGGGTAGTGGTGTCAGGTACCAACCCGAAGGACTGGAAACGCCCCAGATGGCAACCAGACATTGTCATAAACCAGGGAGACGATATCGCAGGTTATGTGGGGGCAGTTGGAGAAGAAGTCCGTAGCTTCCGTAAGGGAGACAAAGTGGCCGCATTGCATGAGCTGGGCAGCCCGCATGGAAGTTATGCCGAATATGCCATTGCATGGGAATACTCAACATTCCATCTCACCGAGAAGACCAGCTTTGAAGGTATGTCATATCTCCTACTCAAATACTACAGGGATGAAACTAAACATATTGACCAGAGGCTGCTACCGTACCCCTCGCTGCGATGACTGCTGCACTGGGTCTATATTAACAGCTGAAGCTGCCTCTGCCTTGGACTCCTGCTGATAAACCCACTCCACTGGTTGTGTACGGCGGTGCCACGGCGGTTGGCGCATTTGCGATCAAGTTCGCTAAGCTATCGAACATCCACCCTATCATCGCTGTCGCGGGCAAAGGTGCTTCCTTCGTCGAGACGTTGATTAGCAGAGAAAAAGGAGACACGATCGTCGATTATCGCCAAGGCGATGACGCCGTCCACGAGGGGATCACGGCTGCTAGCAAGCATACACCCATTCACCACGCCTACGATGCCGTGTCTGAGAAGGGAGGCTATCAGAATCTCGGTGCTACTCTCGATAAACCTGGGAAGATCGCAGTCGTTTTACCCACGGTAGTTGATAACATTCCGGACCATATTAGTATCCTTCGAACTGCGGTTGCGTCTGTTCATATGCCCCCTGCCGAGGGCCAGGCTCTTGGTGATAAGGAGTTTGGGGCTGCTCTTTTCCAATTCATCGGTCAAGATCTGGCCCAGGCTTGGTTCTCGGGTCACCCATATGAAGTGAGAAAAGGCGGACTGGGAGGTCTCGAGGGCGCATTGAAAGATCTGGAGGCTGGCAAGGCATCTGCGGTGAAATATGTGATTAAGATTGCCGAGACTGAGGGATTCCAGCAGTAGTTATATTTCCCGAGAAAGCTATCTTGAGTGACTCTGTGAATGCCATGGCAAGCTGCAATGCTGCAAAATGTATGCCAAGCCAGATCGGGATGTATAGATCGGGAAAGTATAGATCGGTTTCGAAATGACATCACCATAAACTCTCCAAGTCGCGTGGCGCGTGAACATACTGCCTCAATTACGATCACCAATGCTTAACACCCTGAGGTCTATTCCACCATGGCAAAACGCACAATCGATGCATTCTTCAAACCATCAGCCACCCCGCCAAAACGTCCTAAAACCGAACCCACCGAGTCCACCATCTCAGCCGCAGAGACAAACAATATCCCAATCGAAGAAGCCAAACCCCCAAGCCAACACCCAAGCTACCCAATCTCAATCTCAATCGCCCAACTCCCCTCCCACGTCAAAGTAGGCCTAGAACACGCAACACCAGCAACCTCACCTCGCGAAATAAACAACCAACCGCAACTTGACCTCCTCTACTTCCAGCCCTACATCCCCCGTCCAACAGCAAACGAGCTATTCAAATTTCTCCGTCACGAACTCCCTTTCTACCGCGTCCAGTACACAGCACGACGCGGCGACATCGAAACGCAAATCAACACACCACGATGGACAACCGTCTTCGGAGTCGATGAGACATCAACATTCATCCAACAAGGCAACGATCCGAACAGTCTCGTTCTACTAGAAACAAAGACCAAAACACCAATCCGGAAAACAAAATACCAGTGCACCCCACGTCCAATACCAGCATGTCTCGATCTCCTACGGAAACAAGTCGAAGCAGCGAATGCAACCGCATCTGCAGCCGCAGATACTCAAACCCCCGGCTACAATTTCTGCCTAGTAAATTACTACGCCAGCGGCGACGACAGCATCGCATTCCACTCAGATGACGAACGCTTCCTCGGCCCCGATCCGAACATCGCCTCACTATCTCTCGGCAGCGAACGGGATTTCCTATTGAAGCATAAGCCTTTCGTGCCCGGAGGTAATGTGAACCGGACGGCGGGTGGATGCGTGTCTGGTGCTGCACATGCAATGTCCGTTCCGGGTGGTGCCGGTGTGACGCGGAGTGGTACAGTTCGGGGTGGAACCTTGAATACCGTCTCTCCTGGATCCAGGCCTGTTACGGTGCCACTGCAGCAGATTAAGATGAGTCTTGGGTCAGGCGATATGATTATTATGCGTGGGGCGACGCAGTCGAATTGGTTACATAGTATTCCCAAGCGGAAGGGGAAGGGGGAGATGACGAGGGGACGGATCAATATTACCTTTCGACGGGCTGTTGTTCCTGGTGGGACGAATAATTATTATCATTATAATGTTGGTAGTGGGGGGATGTATCGGTGGGATGAGGTAGCGAGGGAGATGGTTCTGCGGGATGGGAAGGTAGAGGGAGTTACAGGGTAGCTACGTATATACACTGTATATGATTGAACGGGAATAAGATTCGAATCAAATAAAATATACATGGGTGCCGTAGCACGAAAGGAATGTCTCATGCTCTTGAGTTAGACGCGCAACTCGAGGCGAGACAGATGATATCACTGTGATAGCTCGGCACATTTGAGTCTTTGTACATTTGCTTCTGATTGAGAAAGGAAAAAAAAAATTGACATCGAAGCAGGTCATCATGTGGCATTGGCACTGTGTCTTCCCAGTAGCCATGGTATTCCCCCCTTGGGGAGTTCCGGGAAGTGCCGGGTAATAAAGAAACGTATTCCTGAAATACAAGAGCTACTGGCCCTTGTAGGCATAAGAGGAATGACTTGAAATGATCAGTAGGTGAAAATGACTTCTTCGCCGTAGACGTCTCCGTAGCATTGGTACAAATCAGGGCAGCTGCAACCAAACGTGTTAGCGGAGAAATAATACAATTGCAGGAGACAACTTACAAAACAGGCTCCTTGCCGAAAATGATGTGCCATGAGTACTCCATAATATTCGCGGTAGCCTCGTCCGACAGGTCGTTGTTCATCACCCAGTCGTACATGCGCTGGTAATCGCTATGGGGGCGCTGGAGAATCTGGTCTCTGGAAACGGCAAATTGGGAGCAGCACGGGGCGGCGATTTCGTTGGGAACAGGCCTATTGGGGAATAGCTCTTTCCATGCCGCAGCGTAATGAGCCTCGCCTGGGCTTTCGAGGTTTGAGGGTTGGCGGAATGGTTGGATGGCGGAGGGACATCCTGGGCTCAATTGGCAACGCAAGTTGACAAAGCCTGACTGTTGCACGAAATCTCTCTGCAGCGCGCGCACCGAGTCCACATTGCTGTAATCCATAGTGTCGATGTGCCAACCAGCGATTAGGCCGTCGCGGTGACTGTGGAGGAAGACCACCACCTCTGGAAGGTCGTCGTAGTGGTCGATCAGGTATTGGAGGTAGGGGAGAGCCTCGCGACCCTTGTTCTTCGGGGTGTGTGTCGGGACATTGGTATCGTCGACGGTGTAAATCACACTGCGCCATCTGGAGAGAGAGATTCAATTAGCGCTGTCTACTGCAAACACAATCGAGTTACACTCACTCTGCTAGCTCTGCCGCCACCCAGGCAGTATCTTCCTCCTTGCGCTTGCCCATCACAATGGCACCCTGGTTGGGGACTGTGATGTCGGTGGTCTGGTAAAGCAAAGCGGGTTTACTATCCGATGCAATCCGCCATTTCCGTTGAGAGGTCGTATCCTGTTTGGGCTTTGGTCTGAGGGCTGTGCGGAAAGAGCCCGTATCGAAGTGCCATATATCCTGGATTGATTCACCCTTGGTCTTAATACTGCGATTGACCAGGACGAGAGTCAGGATGATGAGTGCCGCAGCAGCACCGACACGGAGTGACAACCTCATCGCATAACGCGATTCTGGGGATTCGGGGAAAGGGTGTTAAAGGGGGGGTGGGGATGAGTGTGAGAGGAGAAGAGGCCAGCGTCTTAGGACACGCAATCTTAGGAAAGTAATAGGCAGCGCCCCATGTGGAGGCCGGGGGGATCAAACTCACTCGCGACTCTGAACGCGAGATGACGAAAGTGCCGAATCAAGGGGTGACTTCGAGAAGGAATGGAAAGAGAGACCAAAGAGAGAGTGTGCTTTTTTTTCCCTAAGGGTGAAATTAAGAAGAAAAAAAGGACAAATCGAAGTCGGCGCTTTCCTCACTTGGGAGAGTGGACATTTTGATTTCTGTTTCTGATCCATTCTCGGTCATTTCGAGACTTTTGGGGGGGCATATGGGTGATTTGGGGTATTCTGATTGGTCAAACTTAAAGTTCTCGGCCTATCGGCCAATCTGCTCTAGTTTAATTTTTTTTTTATTATCTCACTTCAGGGGGTACATAATGGCTTGTGTATAAGCCTCGGGGGTTGGTGATATGATTCTACTCCATACTTAGACCCTGATATGTCAACCTTGATCCACCAGAGAACTTCCTGAAACAATTTCTCTATTGGACCCTATACATGATACACATTCCATGCAAGGACCTTTTTTTGACTGCAGATCAATTTTTCATATTCCCGAAATCCAAAACGGGTATGACCAACGCCTATTAGTCCCGTCCAAAACCTAAGACAATCACCCCCATATAATGAGCCCACAACCCCAAGACAAAAAGCCAAGATCCAAGATATCAGCCGCGCATCGGCAAAATATTCACGTCAAATTCCTCGGAATCAGGCGCTACTCGACCAACAACACGCCGCATACTAGGCAAAACCGCCAACGTCCCCCTCTCAACCATCGAATGCTGTTCCGCCAGATGTACCATAAAGGTATCTAAGTTTCCATAAACCTGCGTCGAGCCATGTGTCATCGCACAGCAAAAGACACAACAAAACGCGCCGCGGGGAGTATTGGGAGCAAAATGCAACGCCGAATCTCGCTTACAGTGCACATGTGATTTAGCCAAGAACCCGAATCGATACCGAACACCGCTGGCTTTGTGCGTCCGAACGCTTCCTTCGAACTGCGGGTTGCGGATGGAACTCCTCGGGGCCATGGGTGCTTCAAACGCGCAGTGCTCGCACCGTAGCCACGACTGTTGCGTATAATAGCCTGATCCGGGTTCAGTGTAGACTTTGAATCCTCGGAATCCGGTGTGCACTTTCCAAGCGCCTTTGCAGAAGCCCAAGTAGCTGTTCGATTTGCTGGGTGGCCAGAGGGGTCGGGTTAACTCGGTGCTGCTGTGCGTAGAGGGGTTTGACGGGGTTGAGTCTGTGGAGGCGGTTGAGGCTGCGGAGAGGGAACCGCGGCGGGTTTGCGTGGATGGGGATATGGGCGAGAGGTGAGGGTTTTCTTCTTCTGTCATCCGAGCACGGTTGAAGATGTCGGAGTCGGAGTCTTTCCACGGGTTCCCCGAAACGATGTCGTGGTCGTCAGGTATCGCGTTTATTTGCAAATTGGGTCTTGGCGGCGGTCTGACATCGAATTTGGGAATCGGGTCCGACGTCGACGGCGAGTCTGCGTCGTGTCCTGTGGGTAGGTTGTACCCAGACTCGGGCGCTGGCGATCGTGTACTCCCGCGAGCGGAGCGGGGATGGAACAAGTCGCCCATAATCAACCCAAAGCCCGAAGATCGTCTGCTCGGTCTTGGATTCGGAACCAGATACTCTCTCGGTGACCCCAGTGTATCCAGTGTTTGAACCCGGCCTGTCGTGTAACTGCCTGGTGATATGGGATATCCGCCAGAAAGGTACCGCATCTCCGACGGATGGGATGGCAAGTATCCGTCCGGACTATGAGAGGAATATCCACCAGCCTGCGGATGCACCCTGTGATAGTTTGGGTCGATGAACATCGAAAAAGACGGCGGAACGTGCGACGGCCTCGAGAGACGTTGATACAGTTCTCCCAAAATGGTGAGCGTGCGAACGCGGCCCTGGTCGGACTCTAGCTGCAATGCGTTCAGATCCAGAGTCGTCCCCCGCTCCTGTGCCTCGCGGAGGTGTCTCAGCAACGCCCCCTGCAGTGTGATGATGATATCCTTCATCTGCTCACGAGCGATCGCGTCGCCTATCTCCCATCGCTGCCCAAGCTCTTGGTAGTGTTGATCAAACCGATACTGAATTTCGGTGCGGCCGAGTGCGAGCGACCGTTCTAGTTCCCGAGTGGACTGGCGCTCATGATACTTCTTCCTAATGGCAGTGTACATACGCGATCCGTCATTGTAGGCGGAGACAACTGTTTGCCGATTTGGGGTTGTTAATGTCATCTATTGATATCATGATAGGGGATGGTCTTACTAGCTGCCACACAGGCTACGACCGCGATCACCTCCACCCCCGACATAGTGAGTCAGATGGGATTTAGGATATATAAAACTGAGGGGTTAGAATTCGAGCGGTGGGTCTCGGGATCAAAAGCTCTACCTAGGTAGTAACGTGGTAGACTGAGATTTGATGTCAAACAAAAAGATTGGAGAATTGGAGATAAGAAAGGAACGAAGAAATGCCCAGCAAAGGGACCTTGGCAAAAGAAAAAAGAAAAGTGTCATTGGCCTAAGGCTGTGACGTGGACATCCGGACTCTATTGAAATCGACAGGTACTTTCTGATAGCAACAGCACAGTCCACCTGGACAATTTCTCTTTGATTTGCCGGCCAATCAGGAAGTCGTTGGAATTCTCCGTTATAAGCGAGATGAGGGGGTTTGACCATTGAGGCTGAAGCCCGATCTAGTATTATCAGCCGGGTACTAATTATAAATAACACATCTTTATTGAATCATAAGAATATAGAGTAAATCAGTGGACATCTCCGAAGATCGGATCCACCGTCCCCACATCCGATATATGCTGTTGGATGTGGCGTATAATACTGATCCTGTTGGAAATCCTGCGAGGGCTAATTGAACGAAAAGTACCTTCATGCATATGATCGGAAAAACAAGTCCTAACCCAAATCTTAACTACACTATTCTAACCCGTACACCCATAATCAAACGGTAAACAGTACAAAACGCTAGCTCAAATGCAAGAAAAAGCAGAGAATCCAACCCCCCCCCCAAAACCAATCAACAACAGCGCCCCTTATTGCGCGACGCACGCATAATCCTCTCCTGCTCAGTACCCTCAACATCAACAGCTGCCGCCAAACCCATCCAACTCCTCCTCTTATCGCCATGACCAAGCCGGAAACTCCCGGTCCCCTCCACAACCCCCGGACTAAACGGTCCGGCAACCCCATTCGCTATGGAGACACTGCCAATCGACAACGCTAGCTCAGTATCCCGCCGATTGCGCTGCTCAACCAGCTTACGCGTGATAACGCGGAAAACCTCATCGATTCCCTCGCCATCCCGCGCGCTAATCTCATGACAGCAATCCCACCCAATATCCTGTCCCCAGAACGCCGAACTGCGCTTTGAGTCCGGACTCTGTAGGGCATTTGATGAGAGTGCTGCGGCGCTGGCGCTGGCATTGCTACCGCCACTAGTACCGCCAAACACAGATGTCCCAAAGCCTAGTCCGCCCATGCTTGCGGTTGGTGGTGGAGTGGAGGCTTGGGTTGGGTAGAGCTGTTCCGCAACGTAGGCGATTGTGCGCTCGAAGGGAACTCGGCGGCGGGAGGGGTCATCGGCGACAATGTCGGACTTTGTACCTACGACGTGGATTATGAGTGAGTCTGTGCCATCGTCGCTGGGTGTGATATTTTTGCGGAGTTCGCGGAGCCAGCCGGCCATTTCTTGGAAGCTGTTTTGGTCGGTGATCTGTGTAGGTATTTAGTATCAGTAGGTTTATTGTGCTGTAGGTTGGTGCATGTATAGGCAAATGTGTACGCAGAGAGAAAGAGGGGAAAGTGTGGGGATGCACTGACATCATAGCACAGGAGCACTGCTTGGGCTCCTCTGTAATAAAGTCTCGACATGCTGCGGAATCTCTCCTGTCCAGCTGTGTCCCATATCTGTAGTCTGACTATGGTATCGGACGTGGAATCGAGGACGCGCTTTGTCACGAACGACGCGCCGATGGTTGAAGCCGCTGCGGGGTTGAAGGTGTTTGTACAATATCTCTCCACGAGCGCAGTCTTTCCCACCCCTAGTAATTAAGGTTAGTGTTTAGTTGAGTTTCCAATATAGATCACCGGGTCCTCCTACCCTGTGCTCCAAGCACAACGATCTTAGCTTCAAGACTTGAACTCATGTTTCCCCGAGGTTGAGGAAGCGGGGATCAGGTTTTTGTATTCGCATTATATATCCACAGTCAAAATTCTTTGACAACCGAGATAGAAACAAGGTCAGATCAAAGGGATATGTAAAGGAGGAATGAAAGAAAAGAAAACCCGGGCAAGTTGCGGGCGGTATCAGCCGATGGCGACTTCCTTGTTCACGGGGTCAACTGCACGTGTGGATAAAAGAAGTTAAAAAATGAAAAATGAGAGAAAGAGTTGGATTTCTATAAAACCCGACTGGTTTTATCTTGCAGTGGTTAATATCACATTCAAATATGAGATTTAAGATGCATGTAAAAGACAAAGGGGTGCACCTATATAACTGTCAGTTAAGTAATACTCCATTTGGTGATTGGTTTACTCTGGGGGGTTATTACATCCGTATAGTTTTAAGTATGACTATGAATGGTCCCTTGCTCGGGGAATCTATCAGCCTTATGCAAGGCAGCACCCGCATGAGTCACTATTAAAACCCTGGAGAGGCAGGTTAAGCGCACATGCAGGGGTATCATAACATTTACGTATACAATTTACATTGAGAATAAGATAAATGGAATATGTGTTCGTTCTCTAGACTGGTATCATATAAAGCGCATGTACATGATGCTAGTAATTCCCATGTCCGACGGAACCATTTTCGAAGGTCATCAAAAAAAATAGCACTGCACTTTCAATTCTAGATGGTACAGATAGGATAATCCATCGGCATCAGGGCCAAGGTGTCATCCTCCAGGCCAGACCGGGCCAGAAACAATGGGTATATAATGTCAAAAGCAAAATCAAAAACAAATAGGAGAATCTGGCGTTCACTCGTCCATTGGACAGAGGGAACAGCACAGCCATAACATGTGAGAGATGGCAGCGCACAGCGCTGTCACGCCGGTAACTTAAGAAACCGCTTAGCGGGGCTCATTGAAACGCTAGCGCTTAAGAGATAGTCTTGGAGTTCTCGGTCTCCTCATGGAAATCCTTGTCATCGCTGGAGTTGCTGCGAGGGGAGCTCTTCTCGCCGGCATTCTCCATATCGCCCTGGCGGCGGCTAGACTCGAAGCCATATTCGGCAGCCTTGGCCTCAATCTCCTCGTCGGTGAGTTTGGGTAGTTCGTAGGCAGCCTTGACATAGCTCATGTTCTCGCAGTAGCCCTTGGCGAAGATGAGATCGATCTCCTCGAGACTGCGACCAGCGGTCTCGGGGTAGAAGAAGATCATGGGGGGGGATGAAGACAAAGTTCATCACAGCGAAGAAAAGGTAGGTACCCCAGGAGATACTCTCAATCATAACGGGAGTGATCATGACAACAGTGAAGTTGAACAGCCAGTTGGAGCAGGTCGAGACGGCATTGGCCTTGGCACGAGTGCGGAGAGGCGAGATCTCGGCGGGGTACAACCAGGGGAGGGGCAGGATGGAGGCACCGAAGAAGGACATGTAGAGGAACAGACCGAAGACGGCACCCTTGGAAGGTCCGGTCTGGTCAGGGATCAAACAACCGAAAACGATGATCATGGAAACCATCTGGCCGGTCATCCCACCGATGAAGAGCTTGCGGCGACCGATCTTCTCAATGAAGAACCAGGAGAAGGTAGCGAAGATAGCGTAGACAATCATGTTGATACCACCGATGAGCATGGACATAAAATTATCCTGTCCGAGAGACTTCTTCAGGAGGACAGGGAGGTAGTAGATCACAGCATTGCAACCAGACAGCTGCTGGGCGATTTGAGAGGATGAACCGATAAGCATGCGGCGCAGGTGCTGAGTCTTGCCACCAGTGAGGAGATCAGAGTAACCAGCACCCTCGGCAACACCGGCAGCCTCGATGGACTCGATGACAAGTTGCTTCTGGAGCTGGGTCTCGTGGGAGTCGACTTCGTAACCACCGAGAGCAGCGAGTACATTCTCACCCTCGTGCACCTTACCCTTGGAGATGAGGTAGCGAGGCGAGTCGGGCAAGTAGTACATGCCAATGATAATGATGACACCGAAGACGATCTGGAAGCCGATGGGGAAACGCCAGGTGAGGTCGTCAGGGCCGTAGGAGGCACCAAAGTCAATCCAGTAGGCGATCATTGTACCAATGGCGATGATACCACCTTCGATACAGATGAGAAGGCCACGGTTGGAGGAGCGAGAGCACTCGGCTTGGTACGTAGGGATAGTCGAGGTGTTCATTCCGTTGCCAATACCAGTGAGGATACGGCCGACGAAGAACTGGGCGGTAGCTCCATGACCCTTGATGGCACAGATTTGAATAATAACACCAATCATCATGACCCAAGCACCGTGGATAATCATAAGACGACGACCAAGCTTGTCACCAGCGAACAAGGCGTACATGGCACCAACTAGACAACCCAGCTCGTAGACGGCAGTCACCAAGGCCTGCATGGTGGAATCATTGTGAGTGATAGGCATGAACTTTCCGAAGGCATCGGAATCAATAATGCCGGACATGACACCCTCTGCGGATGGTTAGCGTTGAATTTGGATCATGGATCGAATGTATACTCACGATCATAACCGAAAAGCAAGAAACCCATGGTGGCGATGGTCGACACCGTCAAACCCAAGGGCCTGCCGGACATGCCAGCATATTTAGGCGCCATAATGAATAGGGGATAACAATATAAAATATAACCAATCTATACAAGTCCAAAGATGAACTGATCCCAGTAAGCACGTGGGTGGTGGAATGACTGGAATGACTGGAATGGCTGGAGATATAGAGACAAGCGGAGAAAGTAAGAACCCCGGGGGGGGGAATAGGGGGATATTTGAATGTCTTTCTCCAACGGAGATTAACGAATGTGGTAATGAGATTCGTCCAATATTTCCCCCCGGTCTCTACTCCTTACGAGGTTCTGCCCGAAACTTCGGGGGAGAAAATAATAAAACTAAAAAAAATGTAAATAACAACAGCCACGTTAGTCTGGTCCAACGAATCATATTGATATCGAGCGGAGCCCTTTAGCCGAATGCATCAATAATGGCATGTTAAGCATTTCCAGAGGGCTCCACCCAGTAGTTTGCGTCCCTGATGATGTCACTGGACTTTCTTTTTATTTTCTTAATCCTTTTTTTGGTTGAGATTCATATATTTCATGATTGGCCCTCTGAGTGTGGTGGACATTGCCCTGGTATATGGATCCACAGGAACTGACCAAACATAATACTTCGCAGATGGATTCTGGGTATTGAAATGTACCTGGTGCGTGTCTTCTTCGGGTGAGAAAATAAACGAGATTTCCCCGGCAAGGAGAAGAATACGGCCAATAATAGAAGGCTTGCCGATATCAAATGGGGTACATCCCGATCGGCGGGATTGCGCACGCACACGGCAATATGTCAAATACGACTGTTGGAGTCCCTATATACAAGTATAACTATATTTGTACCTGGGACGTTGTACCCGATCTCAAACAGGTGCCGAGTCCAAGCGCCAAGCCACTCCCGTGCTTCTCGGCGCTGGTTGCAAAACGGGACTCGGGAAGCCGTATCCATCCCGACTTATCGGCGACGAGAATTCTGTGGAAGGACTAGCGCCATACTAAAGGGATCGGAAAAGGATCGGCATTGTGGCTTACTCGATCTAGAATGAGAATTTATCCTCCTTGCCTGAGATCTTTTAGGATTAGAACGTTTTTCTTTCCTGGGGAACCCCTATCTAGGCTATAGGTAATACATATAAGGCCGCATATGTTGTGCAAGATTGTTGGTCCGAAAACAAAACAGGAATACTGCAATTTACTAGAATTAAGCAAAGCCAAGAGCCAAGGCCCCTAGGGCCCGCGAACCTTTTTTTTTTTGGCTTGACCGTTGCTTCTTTCAGCCTGAAGTAAAACAGATGACACATTAATTCTATTAAATCTCTTCAATTATTTTCTCCATTCAAATGATGACCCACACGTCATGTCTCGAACAGATGAACATTCGGTGGAAAAGCGTGGCTTTGTATCCGCAATGATGTCGTTACCACTTCGGCGTAGTCAAAGTTTTCTCGAACTGCAACTAAGTGGACACGGCCGAAACAGAAAGGCACACATTGACGGGACACGGTTGAAAATTCATTTCCATATGCCTAGGTCCAAAAGATCAGAAGTGAACTCTTCTTGTACAATCCTAGGTAGAACGTTCTCTTCATGGCAAGCCGCATATCCATGTCCACAATTCAGGAGACTATGGGTCTCCTTCGGCTAATAATGTATATCACTGAACCGCCTTCCTGATCTCGTAGGATTGTCTTTATCTCCCCGCTAACAGAGGCCGTCAGGCTGTCGGTGCAGCCGGCCTGTGGATGAAACCCCCGCTGGTTGGTATTGTTTTTTATTCTTGCCATGTATTCTTTTTGATAGGCGATCCAAACAAAACTCATTTATGAGTCCTCTAATACCGTTTTATCGAATAAGCATTGGTGGCGATCGCTTTGCGCCCCGGTTCGATCTACACTTCCATAGACAGATTCAATAATTATACGCCACATGCACATTGTACAACTTGTGGACAGTGCATAAGGCGAACCCCCTCCCCGTTCAACGTCAGCGGCAACCACGAGGCAACGAGGGGTTGTGCCACCACCGTGGCGGAGATAAATGGCGGAGGTGTGGGAGGGAGGAGAATATTCGGAGGCGCCGGTGACGCAGGGAGACGTATACTTTGTAGACCGAATAAAGCCCGATGATAGCATCTGCATCGATGCCGATGTAGAAGTGGCTTATGTGCCTGATACGCGCTGCCAATTTAACCAGCTTGTTTTGCAGTCCCCTTGAACTTCGAGCTAAGAACGAAGTTTCGAAGAAGCTTTGTAGGCGATCGGCGGTGGCGCTGTCAGCCAAGTCCGATGCAGGATCGTTCTTCATGATCTACACTACTTGATAATGCGAGTAATGTTGTTTAATTGTGGCTTGAATCAGCTTCCAGCTTACAAGCTTTTAATAGCGATGAAAACCTTGGGAACTGCCTTCTGCACAACGGTGT